TCTGGCTCCTCATGCCAGGAACCTACTCCTTAAACTCTAAGCAAACAGCCTGTAGCCACTGGCACATTCCTGCCTGGGATGTGGACTACGGCATGGGCAACGCTACTTCCTGTTTATTTCCAGCCTTGTAACGGGGCTAGTTGCTGCTAGGCGGAGGCCACAGACCGTGATGGGCAGGGCCAGGATGAGTCCCAAGAAAGTGTTGCACGGGGAAGGCAGCAGCCCAAGGAGACACCTCGCAGGAGTACAGCTGTGGACCATGGCTAAGGTGCCTTGGCAGAGCTGTCAGAAGAATCCCAGGAGCGAGAAGAGCAGAGCTAAATTAAAGCTGGCTGCAACTGATGAGTCGTGCATCTGCTGATGGCGTCCATCTGTCTTGGGAGACAATGGAGGAGTGTGCCTTTGGGGTGGGGTGAGATCAAGCTGTTGGACAGTTGCAGCTTCTGCTGTGGTTGTAGAGACCAATGCAGGAGAGACATGTTTTGTTGCAGCTGGGGCAAACAAAGGCATCCAGTTGTGCTGCTGCAGATGCACCATGGTGTTTCTTCTCTCTGTGCTCCACCCAGCAGTCATTTCTCCTCTGGCCACTGCTGTTGATACAAGACCTGACTGTCTGTTTCCAGGCACAGCAAGGGATTCCCACAGGGTGGGGTTGATGTTGCCAGCCTTCATGTCACGTTTGCAGACATCTTTGCAACACAGAGTTGGTCTGCCAACTGGCCTGGGGCCAGAAGCCAGCTCCCTGCAGAGCACATCCTTGCTCTACATGGAGTTCAGAAGTGATCAAAAATCAGGGAAACGAGGTCTGTTTTCTGCTCCCATGTTTCTTTCTGTTTTGGAGTGGTGCCTGTGTCTGTGTGGCCCTTAATAGAGCCTATTTTAATGCATTTGTGCACACATCATACACCCACGGTCATGACCTGCAAATATCCTCACATGTTGCACAAGTGCCCATAGGCTCACTTTTTTTTTAAGCCCATAAAATTGACACACACATTGAAAACAAAGCATGCATCTTTTTTCACGCAGCGAGCCATTAATCTTCGCAGCTTGCAGCTAGAGGGCCAGCATTCCTAAACACAGTTAAAAGACATGACTAGGCAAAACGAGGAGGAAATGGGAATATTGGTGGCTATTATTAAGCAAGACAGATGGGAGAGAGTTGCTCCCGTTGATGGTGTCCCCAGTCAATCAGCTTCTTGAAGGTGGAAATGATTGACAGAGAGCAGAGCTCTCTATTAGTATCTTGAGCTGTTATCCTCTAAAAGCCTTTGCTGGAGAGAGCAAGGAATACTCCGAAGGGACAAATGGCCACAACCTGTAAAGATGAAAGTTTACCCTGAAGCCATTTTGCAAGCAGAAGAGGAGGTCTTCTCTCTCTCCCCCCCCCCCAAATATAATAGCACTTTAATAGTTGCTACTAGGGAGTTTACTGGGAATTTGGGGAGCAGATTTATACGGAGACAGATCATTGGCCCATCTAGTTCAGCATTGTTTACATCAGGGCTGGGGAACCTTTTCTCTATCGAGAGTTGAATTGCCACAGGCAATGCCAGAGTATGAGCTGTCTGGGCCCACGTGTCAGAGGTGGGTGGGGCTGGAGCCAGTGTTAGGTGGGGCTGGAGTCAAAAGGTGGTGGATCGCCCACTCTTGCCCTCCCTTTCTTGCCATCAGCATGGTATTAGGTCAAGGGCTGCACGTGGCCCTCAAGCTGATCCTTGGTCTACACAAGCCGCTATCAGCGGTTCTCAACCTGTGGGTCCCCAGATGTTGTTCGACTACAACTCCCATCATCCCTGAGCGCTGGCCTTGCTAGCTAGGGGTGATGGGAGTTGTAGTCCAAGAACATCTGGGGACCCACAGGTTGAGAATGGTTCTCCAGGGTTTTGGTCAGGAATGTCTCCCAGTCCTTCCTGGAGATGTCAGGAATTGAATACGTATAGGACCTTTCTACAGCCAAAGCCTGCACTTTGCCACTGACCCACAGCCCCTTCTCTGGCATTTCATTGGTGCATTCCTCTGTCAAGTGGAAGCATGTCCCTAAGAGCAGAGGGGGCTCTGCCCCCCAACCTCAGCCTGCCTTCTAACCAAGCAGGGACATCTCTGCCTGTCACTGGCTCTGGTTCCGCCTACTGTTGGTCTCATGACGCCTGCCCCACCAATTCCAATGGGCACGGCACCAGCCACCGCAGCCTATTTGCACATAGTGGAAGAGGGCAGAACTAACCTTGCTGCTAAGGAATTACATGCTGCAGATGGGGTATCCTTAAAAAAATGCACCAGAGAAGTAGAATTCTGAATCTCCAGTGGAACAATAACAGCAAGAAAAAGTGGAAGAAAGTAGTTTATATTGGCACAGCATTCACAATGTCTTGGGGACCATTTTTTCTCTCTCCCCTACCCCAACAACAAGCTGTTTCAAAGATGGGAAAGGAACCTAGCTTGGGGAGAAGGCCTGGGGGAAAGGTTACAAAAGAAATACTGCCGGATGAATCTATTGATTCTCCTTGCAAATGCCTCCACATTATAATTAGACAACAAACACATTTGCTGAAGTAATGCACAGTTCCTCCCTGTGGTGGATAATGTGAAAAATAAGTATGTTTAAGATTAGTCACAAAGCAAACATTCCTCACAAGCAATGAAATTATCCCTTGAATGAGCATCATTGCAGGCTTTTTTGTTTGCATAAATGCCATTGGATCTCTCAGTTCTACAAGTGGGCTCATCTTCCATCAGGTCTTCCTGGATAAATGAAACAGAATCACCACCTCAGTTCTTTTTCCTCTATTCAGCCTGAATGCATCTGAGATTTTCTTGAATATCCTAAAAGGAGAGGTGTCTAGTCTGTGGACTGGTGAATTCCTTTGTATCACCAGTTCTGTTATTATAGAGGACGTTCGTGGGAGAATTACATTTTGCAATCAAAGGGCATATCTAGACTGTTGCTATTTTCGGGTGGGATTCCATCACACACCTGCAAATTCAGGTTGCACAATTAAAGTTGACTGGGAGGTCTTGTGCGACAAACCCACTTCCTCAAATGGTCAGACTTTTTGTGATAAAGGGAAGTACCGGGAAATACTCTGGAAAGTGTGGAATAACACTTGCTTTGATGCAACATCATCTAACTGCCCTGAAAACAAATAAGAGCGGATGCTCATTAAATAGCTGATACTGTCTAATATCCCCACAAGAAATCAGGATGGTAGTTTTTTCTTTTAAAAGGTTGTGTGAAAGTGCCCTTAGAAGATTCTTGGTCCTGCGATCTTTTGAAGGGAAGGGTTGTGTGAATAACCAGCAGCAAGCTGTTTTGGAGATTTGCAATTTTGTTGAGCAGACAATTGTTGTAGGTACAACCTTAGGTGAGAATAATTATGCAGATGAGGACACTGTGTTGAGATGTAATTTGGTGCCGACCCTACCATTAGGCAGAGTCAGGCAGATGCTCAGGAGTGTGGAACAGACAGAGGTGTGCAGAAGACCACATGACCAGCCCTGCACCCCACCCTCAGGCTAGCCTGGTACCGTCAGATTCAGTTGAGGGCATTGCCATGTTGCCAGTGTGGAAGAGTCAACTGCCAATGTAGCTGGTTTCCATACACTGACTAGGAGAAGGCACCATCTTTTCTTTCCTCAGGCAGAAAAATGTCTTAGGCAGGCTTTGATGTAAGCTGACTCCACATCCAAGGCCTGAGCATTTGAACCCTGCATTTCATTCTTTTCACAGCCTTGGCTCTCTTGTGATTAGGCAGACTCTCACATGAAAGGGAGCAGAGAGGCAAAGATCCTCTTCCTTTGTTGGAGAGAGAGAAAGAGAGAGAGAGAGAGAGAGAGAGAGAGAGAGAGAGTATCAGAACTGCTACCTGTGAAACCTAATGTGAGATCCATCATCCGTAGCCTTTGAAACACAGGCTTCTTATTTCCTTTGGAGAACAATTTTGGGGAAACAACTGCCTACCAGGAATCTTGCTTGGTTTTGTCTGAAATCTAAAGATTTCAAAACTTGAGATGGCAGAGCCTTCAAGCTTCTGCTTAGTGAAGTTAAGGAAGATGGTGAGACTTGGCTGTGGCCACGTGGGCATTCTGGGACAGAGCTAAGGTTTCCCATCCCAGGGATGATGATGGGATCAATGCAGGAAAAGTTTACTCAGATTCCAATCCCGCTCCAGAAGCGATGCCAACTATTAGGGTGTATCAGAAGCAAGTCTGTATTGCTGCTGCTTTAGCTTCCTCTACCCTTCTTCAAAAGAGAAACCTTTCCCACACACCCAACAGGCCAGAGAGCCTCTTGGGTTTCCCCTTAAATATGTGGCATAGCTTCTCTCTCCAGCCCTGGTCATCCAACAGGGTCACAGGATGCCCATGCACTTTGGGCCAACTCAATCCTGGACACGTAAGGTTTGGAGAGGCACAAACACAAGCATTCAACTGGCAGCATCCTGGCAGGGACTTCCCCATCCTCCCTGCAAATCACATTGCCCTTTTCTCTGCCCAGATGCCCTTTCAGAAGGATATCCAACAGGTGAAGTCTACCCCGGATGCATCAATACTTCAGCTGTTGAATTCTTCTCTTGGCAGCTTTCAAGACTGGGCTGGCGAACCTGTGAATCATAGAATCGTAGAATTGGATGGGACCCCATGGGCCATCTATTCCAACCCCTGGGCAAGCAGGAATCTTCTTATTGGACTCTGGCTCCCAAAAGCCGGAGTCAGCAAGAGCGATGGTCAGGAATGATGGAAAAAGCCCTCCAACACTATCTGGAGGACCAGCCCTGATTTAAACGCAAAGGGACCTGCCCAAAGTTTTTTCCCCCCTAAGGTGGAGAAAGCAGCGGCAGGCTGCGGCCACCCTATTCGTGGGCTCTTTCTGAAGGCCCCCCTCCCTCTTGAGCATCCAGGCAGTCGAGGCTCCGTCCTGCCCTGCCCCTTCTCGGATCTGTCCGAGAGCCAGGGGGGGCGGCCGCCACGATAAAAAGGCTGGACGGGACGGGCTGCGGACGAGAGGCGGCAGCGCGGAGACAGGCTCGGCTCACCTCTCGCTCTCTGCCCCGCGTGGACATCCTGGTCGGGATCGACGCCGCCTGAGCGCTCCCAGCCCCTGCGCTTCTCCTCTCCGGCTCCGTCGTTCGTGGCCGCCAGCATCGCTCACTTGTTGCCTGAAGCCGAATCTCTCCTTCTCCATTCCTGCTCCGCGCGTGCACGTGAGTATTCAGACGGAAAGTCTCACTGGGGAGAGAGGTTTTGCGGGACTGGCTCTGGATTTCTGGGGAGATTTATTATTTTGGGGGTGGGGGAGAGGGGGTGTCCCCTGCAACTCTTTTCCCAAAAAATTGGGCGCGTTGGTTATTTTGCAATACAGAACCCCCCCCCCCCAAAAAAACCAGGTGGTAGAAAGAAATGGAACATGGATCCCAATAGCAAGTGCATTCTGTTGATTTGGGGGGGGGGTGTATTGGGAAAATAGCGATAAAAGAGGGGAGGGTCCGGCAATGTTTCCTTTTCTCTCCCATGAGGGGGTTGAACTAGATGACCCTGGAGTCCCTTCCGATTCTATGAGCTCTGCATTCTCAGGTGAAAACACTGACAACCGCTACCCCCGCCCCCCCAAACCACCCAAGGCAGCGTCTAAATAAAGGAAAAGCAGACAAACAAACATCTCAGCTCTCTGAATTGGAGGTATTCAGCAGAAGATTATAAGTCACCATCCCGCGCGTGTGGGTGGCTGGAATGTTCTTGCCTCAACCTGTTCACATCTGTCTCTCTGTCCCTCCACATCTGTCTGTCGGCCATCCATTCATCCTGGAGGGACGGGCTGTGCGTTTTTTTGTTTTGTTTTAACCCTGTACAGTATCAGTGTTAGTTGCTTCAAGTGAGATAACTATAATCATTTCCTGGTCCTGAATTTTTTGTTTTGGCTGTTTTCACACACACTCTCCAAAACGAGTGTTGGTCTTAAAATACTGTGTTACAAGCCACCTTGAAAGTCTCCAATGGAAAAGCAGGATATAAATGTTTTTTAAAATCAGTCGCAGTAATTAACAATAGAAACTGTTTAACTGCAAAGTTTTATTCTGTCTTCATTCGTCCCTAGCATGACAATAGGATGGGAAAAACTAACGTGATGACTCTGGACTACAACTCCCATCATCCCTAGCCATTGGCTGTGCTGACCAGGGCTGATGGGAGATGGAGTCCAACAGCAACTGGAGGACCCTGCTGTAGTACAATCTTCAGTCTTTTGGGAAGGACCAACCCTGTTAGACTTGCCCAGCCGCTTTCCTTCTCACCCTGTAACTTTGTGTGTCTGTAACGATACCTGATCAAACATGGATTCATTGTAGCAGGGAGTTCCGCTGACCTCGTTCCTTACCCAGAAAACTATGTTTCCATTAATCAGGTTTCTCGTATCTCCCAGGTCTCACCGTCATCTTTGGACCCACGATGCTCTCTCATCTCACCTTCCTCCTGCTGGCATGCCTGGCTGTGCCCAGCGGGGCCCAGCGTCCACAGATTCAGCTACGGCTGGTGGGGCCCAGGAGCCAAGTAGGCGAAGGGCGGCTGGAAGTGTTGTACAATGGGCAGTGGGGCACCGTGTGTGACGACGACTTCAACATTCATGTGGCGGGCGTGGCTTGCAGGGAGCTGGGCTACGAAGGTGCCGTGAACTGGGCGCACAGTGCCAAGTACGGCCCAGGAGATGGTAAGGAGGAACTGGAATGGGGGGACATGGGGTGCTGCTGCTGCTGGGCTCAGATTTAGATGGGTTTCATAATAGAATCATGGAATTGTAGAGCTGGAAGGGACCACGAGGGTCATCTAGTCCAACCCCCTGCAATGCAGGAATCTTTTTGCCCAATGTTGGGCTTGAACCTACGACCATGAGATTAAGAGTCTTGTGCTCTACTGACTGAGCTATCCTGCAGACTTCAGCCTTCTGACCTATTCCCAGTTTCCAAGCTGAGGACCTGCAAAGAGGACCTCTGAGCATTGTCTTCACTGTCAAGTAACCACAGTCCACATTAAGATCATGGGCCCTTGTTTTCAGGATCTGAAATGCTGCTTCCAGGCCAGTCTGAGCTGTACAGAACATTTCCTTTTTAGAAACGAGTGCTTTGGTCAGGCTCTAGCCTTCTTATCAGCTCCAGTGTCACCAAGGGCTCTCAGTGGGTGGAAGATTTGGTTTGGCACACCTCAGTAAAACTGCTCTTGGCAAGGGGCACCATAAAGAGGAGGGCAAGTGTGCCACCTGGAGTTTTTTAGAAGGAACTCCCTGCTAATGGTTCACTTCAACCCTGCTCAGTGTTCCAAAGTGCTGGCTGCCTTGCCAAGGGCACAGAGATGCCAACCTGGAGTGGCACCAAAGGTGGAGAAATTGCTTTTGAAAATGTGCTTGTCTGTTGGCACGCACATCTGAAACGTACGTCACCATCTTGAACCTATGCATCCAGGTCTAGGGGGCTGTGGAATGCCAGACCCCCTCTATGATGCAGCGTATTTCGTTCAGGCTAATTTATATCCATGGTGCTTTTTTCTTTTCTTTTCGGTCAGGTAATTCTACTGAAAATATCTCAGGTCTGAAAATATCTCATGTCGCCGCAGATAGGCTGGCATCCGATTAGCACAGTCAATCTGCCCAGAGAAATCTGCATGATAAATTAAGTCCTTGTTCTAATGTCAAATGCTTTGGTGTTGTGCTAATGGGAAGATTTACCTTAGCAGGGATGGGCAGACTTCAGGTTTAGGGGATGTACTCTGGATCCCCCCCTCCAAACTTGAACCCCAACGTTCACCATCCAGAACCAGGTACAAAATAGTGGCTCCAAAGAGGCAGATATTTATTTATAATGACTGAGCACATAAGCAGCACAGAAACCTGGTTTTGGTACCCAAACTGAACTCAGGGGTCTTTTTGCTCAAAATCATCTCCATCTTTCCACCCACCCTCAGCAGCCTCATTTAGAAAAAGATAGGTGTTTTTCTTTTACAGTACAATCCTATACATGTTAACTCAGAAATAGCTCAATGGGACTTGCTCCCAGAGAAGTGGGTACAGGAATGTGGCGTTATCATTCCTGTTTCCAAGCAACTAAAATTGGGAGCCAAGAAACCCTTGATCACCTACTGAAGATCACCCAGGGGTCTCCTACCAGTAGGTTTTTGTCTGCTTTCTGCCAACCCCTGCCTTACAGTATAAATCAGAGAGTATGGGTTTTCCTAGGAAAGTGGCACCTACCTGGAGGAAATCGGGCTGTGACAGCCATGCTTGGAAAAAGAATAGCTAGGAATCCTTGTTCTGTCTATCCATAGGCCCCATCTGGCTGGACAACATGCGCTGCTCTGGCACAGAAAGTTCCTTGGCTGAGTGTGAATCCAATGGCTGGGGTGTGACAGACTGCAACCACAACGAGGACACGGGCGTGATCTGCACAGGTCTACGCCGATCCAACCCAGCTACGGCACGCATCCAGGTGAGGGCCTCTCATTGGACACTGGAGCTCTGCAAGAGGGGCTGTGTGGACAGCCTTTGACCCTCCAGATGTCGCTTAACGATAACTCCTATCAGTCATGGCCAGTTGGTCAATGGGTAAGGATGATAGGACTCAGAGTTCAGCAACATCTGGAGAGCTAAAGGTTCCCCACATCTGGCTTAGACCCACATCTCATGCCTATTTGCTCTGATGTGAGCTGAACTGAGTTTCATGGTACATATTCCTCAGTAACTGGCCATAAATCTGCAGCCTAATGGGAGACAAACCCAACCTTGGAACATGTCTCCCCTCATCTGTGGACGGGTGAAGTAACATGTACCATTTCCTTTCTTTCATGCAGGACTCCAGAGTGGAAGATGTGCGTATCAAGCCAATCCTGGCCAGGGCCAAGTTGGCTTCTCCCATCACAGAAGGCGCCCTGGAAGTGAAAATCCACGGGCGTTGGCGCCAGGTGTGTGATGCCGGCTGGACGCGCAACAACACTCGAGTGGTGTGTGGGATGCTGGGCTTCCCCAAGGAAGGACGAGTTGCCACAGGCTTCTACAGGTCAGAGCTGGTGGGGGGAGGGGGGCTGCACAGGTGGAAGGGCAAGTTGCCTTGTCAGGGCGCAGTGGTGCAGATGCGGCTGAGAAAGCGACAGAGGGCACCCATGATGGGAGGCAGCTTGATGTGCATGCACAAAGGGTGCATATGCATCAGTACAGGATGTTTGGTGGGGAAGCATTTGGTGCATAGGAACACCGGAAGCTGTTTAAGTCAGATGATTAGGTCTACCTTGCTTGCTATTGTTACAGAAGCCTGGCACCTGTCCCACACGGGATCTCAGGGGCCCACACAGATTCTGTGTCCCTTTTGAGAATAGAAGACACAGCGGAGGTTGTTATGCTTTAAGAAATAGCATTTATTCGCCTGTTTACACCTTCCATCTGCATGGAGGAGGTTCAGATCCTACAGCATGGTCCACAGCAGTGCAGGCAGTTTTTCCTTCACCCTCACCAATATTTTCCCTTCCTCCTCTTTCTTCTTCCCAGAAACCCCTTGCCCTCCCCTGAGCTGTTACCCTGGCAACCTTCCAAATCTCCAGTCTCTGGTCATACCTGGGACAAGGAGTTGTTGATGACCCTCAATGGCTCTCTAACTTTTATTATTTTTCTTTTTTTATAACACAAAATATAACAACTTTTCAAACACAAATCAAATACTTTTGCTCCACCGAGCACACGACTTCCCTCCTTCCCTTCAACTGGTTTCCCAATTTCTAATAAATTGCATGCGCATTTCAACTGCCAGTTTCTGTCCTTCAGTATACATCAAGTTATTTTTTGGTCCATGATCAGATACTATTTTTACGTTACGTTACAAGATTTATTTCAGTCCTGCTAGTGTCTTCACATTTTTGCAATAATCTTTCAAGTAGTCAATAAATTTACTCCGATCTCTTTGGAATTTCTGGCCGCCTTGGTTCCAGATCCTAAAAGTCAGCTTGGCTAACTCCGCATAGTCCATCATCTTCGTCTGCCACCCCTGAATCGTTGGTAATTCTTGTGACTTCCACCTTTGGGCCAACAAAATTCTTGCTGCTGTTGTGGCATACTTGAATAGTCTTTGATCTACTTTTGCAATTTTGCAAAAATTGCAAAATGGTTCTCTGTTGTAATGCTCACAGCTCTGCTCTTCCCTCAGCCAGCCAGGAACCCCCTTGCAGCTTATATTCTCCCTTCATATCACAAAGAACCCCAAATCCTAGCATTTCTTAACTTCTAGGGTCGACTCCACATCTCTAACACTATTGTCTATGCTGACTGACAGTTTCAGGGAGGGAAACTTTCCCAGCCCTACCTTAGAGATGCTGGGGCTTGAACTGGGGAGCTTCTGCTGCAAAGCAGATGCTCTACCACTGAGCTATGGCTGTTCTCACATAGAATCATAGAACTGTAGAGTTGGAAGGGACCACAAGGGGCATCTAGTCCAACCCCCTGCAATGCAGGAATCTTTTGCCCAACCTGGGGCTTGAACCCACAACCCTGAGATTGAGAGTCTCCTGTTCTACCAACTGAGCTACCCCAGAGTCTTATGCAGTATGTGATTTGGTGTGTTTTTTAAACACCATTTTCACAATAGTCCTGCATACACAGGTGACTGGTGCACATGAGTGGCTTCCTGGGGCACAATGGCCTTTCTATGTCTTGCCTCAGTGTCCATTTTTGTCTCTCACGACTGTCCTGTCCCATTCCTGTGGCTTTGTGGGATCTGACTATGCCCCCCCCTCACGTGCTGGTAGTCCCACGTGCCCCTGTTTTCTTCTGCTCATCTTCCATGCTCCACCCACCATTCTCTCTATAAATATAGCCCTGCAATGAGCAGGTGTGGGTGCCAGGACCATCTCTCTGGCGGGATGAGCCAAACCGCAGTGGGGTAATTACAGAGAAGGCTGGGGCTGGCCCAGGCAGCTTCTCACAGAGGAGAAGGACCTGCTGTTTCTGGCTCTGAGCCTGGGAGGCTTCCTCCCCAGACCAACATATTTCTTGCGGGCTGTGGAGAGACTTGGGCCCATCTTCCCAGACCATGAGGGTGAGGATTCAGCTAAAGATGCCAAGGCCCTTGGTACAGCTGCACAATCTTGATTTAGATTACCCATCCTTTTCTGCGGCTGCTGGCACTCTTGTACCATTTGCCACAGCTCTGGAATTTGTTTACAGGAGAAACCGTGCAGCTTTCCAGGAGTCCGGTGGTGGTGAGGGCATGGCAACAGCAGCATCATCCAGTTGCTGTTTGAAATGTGGGCAGCTCCCCCAGAGGGAAAAAGTGGGAGAAAGGAAGGGCAGCTGGATGAATAAGGCTCTGGAACGGGTGTTTACTTTGTCTTGTGTCTTTTAAATTTACTGCAGTTTTCTGTGTTGTTGGTCCCCCCCCCCCATTTTTATTACATGTCATACATTACATTGAGATGTGTGAGAAAGGTGATAAATAAATAAATTGTTATGACTATTAGTAATAGTAGTAGTAGAATAAGTGTTTAGAATCTATGATGATGAACTTTTTGAAAAAGAACCCATCCAAACAAAAAGTCAGTGCTTTTTTTCTTTAAAAATGTTTAGGCGTACTCTCATTTTGACTCAAAAAAACCCCCACCGTTTTATAGTTCAAATCAGGAAAAATAAATACAGTAAATGGACATAAGTACAAAGATACACAAAATGTTTAGGGGTATGCGTACCACTGCATCCTCCCCAGAAAAAACCACTGCAAAACGTCTCAATAGAAAGCACATTTGGGTCTCTATAGAAGTGGCAACTCCAGTCACACACCATGCGTGTTCTAAATACCATTCTCCTGATGCACTGATATTCAATCTTCTCACCCTTCAGGAAACTCTGGAATCAGAAGCTGAAGGATCCACGGTCCAGGTGAGGATTTTTACCAGTCTTGTCCTTCTGTTCAGCAGTGCACGATCAAAATGTGATAAGAGGAGACTTGGAAATGCTAGGAAGGAGAAGCATCATCTCTAGAGGCCAGAATATGAGATCTCTGCACAAGGATGACCCCTCTCCTGTCCAAAAGTCCCCTTTGATGACCCCTACCCTGTCCAAAAGTCAGGATGGGCAATGTCTGCCTCAGGCTCAGAGCCAGAAGTGAAATGTGGGTCTCAGGGATTCGTTTGCCCCCCTCCCCTTTCCCTGCTTGCTCCCAAGAGTTTTTAGCAGCAAATTTTTGAAGCACCAGCAAAGATTGTGAGAGGAAAGATCATTTGGGATGTGGTCCACCCACCTCCCTATCACCTCTGCCTTTTAATTTTACAGTTTAAAGAGCCTGACTGCAAACAACACATTCTGGATCCACCGGATCAAGTGCCTGGGCACGGAGGCCCATCTGGGTGAATGCAAACTGCATGTGCCTCCTCCAGCTAGGAACCAACCTTCCTGTCCCGGGGGCATGCATGCCCTGGTCAGCTGTATAGCAGGACCACAGTTCCAGCCTATCAGAGCCAAGCTGCCTGGCCAAGCCAAGCCCAAAGAGGTAAGCAGAAGGGGGCACATTTCCCACTGGGCAGAGTCGGTGTCAGACACACCTTGCAAGAAGGAGTCCCTTATTTATTTCATAAAATTTAAACACCGCTTGATTGTAAAGGGGGGCGGACACCTTAAAGTGGTTTACAAAAGATAAGACTATAAAACCAAGAACTAGACCAAAGTCTTCCTATCAAGCGTGGGAGAACTGATGGTGCAGTGGAACTGTAGGTTCCACCAATAACTGCACTGTCATGGCAAAAAAACCATTATTTCCCTCTTGGTCTTCCCTGCCATTGCTACTTTAGAAGTCACCCAGTCCTAGTAGCCAGCTCCTAGGGGGCAATGTCCCTTCGGCCCCCCAATAAAATATTTGAGGGGGCTGCTGCCCCAAATTTGGTGGGCATTGCCATTCAAATGGTGTGCGTGTGCCACATCCTGTGATCAGTTATGTGGGGTGGGGCTTACTTTCCCCAATTTTTTTATTATGCCAGTATTTTATTCAAGTTGGCAGCTTTGTCAAGACAGGCAGGTGCCCTCGTGCCTGCTTTGTCTCATATCCGCTTTTCCACTCCTGCAGGAGCAGCAGGTTCGTCTCCGTGCGGGCGCACAAATAGGTGAAGGGCGTGTGGAAGTGCTGGTGGGTGGCCAGTGGGGCACCGTGTGTGATGAAGACTGGGACCTGCCTGCCGCCAGTGTGGTGTGCCGACAACTGGGATATGGCACGGCACGAGAAGCTCTTTCCAGGGCTCAGCTGGGCCAAGGTGAGTGGAGGATGAGGCTATGCAAGCATTACAGGGGAGCTTCGCTCGTCCTGTGGGGGAAGGAGAGACAAGGAAAGGACCAGTTCTGGGCCAGGTGTCCCTCCCTCTAGAACACTCCACAGAGCCACACAGTTTGGAAGGGGAAAGGGAGACCCATGGAGGGTGGCAGAAGGAATCTTTGGTGACGGAGAGTGTGGGCTGGGGAGAGAGATCCAAGGGACTGTTGAGGCAGGGGAGGAAGAAGAAGAAGCAGGGAGAGGAAGAGCCAAGCAAAACATCATGCTGGGATAGCTCAGTCAGTAGAGCGTGAGACTCTTAATCGTGGGTCGGGGGTTTGAGCCCCACATCGGGCAAAAGATTCCTGCATTGTAGGGGGTTGAACTAGGTGGTCCTCATGGTCCCTCCTGACTCTACAATTCGATGAAAACAGAGGTTGGGGAAGCAGTGAGGCCAGTCTGGTGACTGTCCATCCCTACTAAAAGCGGCTCCTGTTACAGGCCTGGGTCCCATCCACTTGACAAGAGTGCGGTGCAGGGGCTACGAGCGCTCGCTGGCAGAGTGCCGCTCCCAAGGGGCGATGCAGACGGGGTGCCGTCATGAAGCAGATGCAGCTGTTCGCTGTAATGTGCCCCAGACAGAAGCTCGGAGCCAGGTAAGACCCGATTCCTTGGGGGCACACAGGGAGTGAGACAAATAACACGAGGAGGGGAATCAGGTGTTATTCTTTTGGACTCTGGTAGCTGAACTGACACTTGCTGGGCCCAAAGTTCAGGGCTGGGGGGCTGCAAAGCGGCTGAGGCCCATCTCAAGCCCATGTGAAGACAAACAGCTACCACTTGGTTCACCCAAGAGGTGAGGTGCTCTCAAGCCTGCATCCCTTAGTCACTGGGCCCTTTCCTTCTCTGAATTCTTAGCAGCGGTCATAGGTACACCTGTGACCCAGACCTTACTACACTGGAATGATCTAGCCCATTAAGCCATTTCCCTCTTTCAGGTACGCCTGGCCGGTGGGCGCACTCCAGAGGAGGGCGTGGTTGAGATCCTGGTTTCCAAGGGAGGTGCCTTGCGCTGGGGTGCCGTCTGCGGGGAACACTGGGGACTCCAGGAAGCCATGGTCGTGTGCCGGCAACTGGGGCTGGGCTTTGCCAGCCATGCTCTCCAGGTGAGTTCTTGCACCCAGAGCCAGGTTCTGATCCTGCCTGGAGCAGTCAGCTGCACGTGGCTCGCTTCCTCAGTCGCATGGATGGAGGCTGAGGCTTCCTGTCCAAGCATCCAGAGCTGGGGAGGAGTTGAACAGGGCGCCCTGGAGCTTGTGCGATGAAGAAGGGCTGCTGTGCACCCAACGCTCCCAGGGTCGTGTGGGGTTTTGCTCAGCAGAATTGCCTTTGCTCTCTTTCCAGGAGACGTGGTACTGGAAGGGAAACTCTGATGCTGCCAAGGTGGTGCTGAGCGGCGTGCGCTGCAAAGGCACTGAACTCTCCATCCTGGAGTGCCAGCACCATGGGCCTGTGCACTGCCCGTCCGGAGGGGGGCGCTTTTCTGCCGGAGTCACCTGTACCAGCAGTGAGTGGAAAGGGAAACAGACCAGCATCGGTGGCAGCACATCACATGATATGGCAGCTACATCTGTGGGGATGTAGCAGCCACGTAGAGAGCTAGTGTGGCATAATGGTTAGAGTCTTGGACCAGGACCTGCGAGAGCAGGGTTCGAATCCCTACTCAGCCATGAAGCTCTTTGGGTGACCTTGGACCCATCGCCTTCTATCTCTTAGCCTAGCCTACCTCATAGGGTGGTTGTGATGATTAAATGGAGAAGAGGAGAACCATGTACACCGCCTTGAGATCCTTGGAAGATAAAACTGGCATATAAATGTAATAAATAAAAAACATGAGAAGCATAGTTCTGTCCTGGGGGAAGGCAGGTAGATTCATCTCTGGCCAGGTCCAGACAGAGGGGGGGCCATATGGGCCACTTGGCCTGGGCCTCCGATTCCAAAAGGGGCCTCGGTCAGCATATTCACAATCACAGAGGATGCACTGGGGCCTTGAAATAAAATTATTTGTCAGCATAACTTTTGTGAAAATTATTTATATACTTATTTATAAGACCTCAGTTATCCCCAGGGTAAAAAAAGGGGGGGCACATTATTTACCCGGTCCAGGCTTCTGCCTGGCTCTGCAAGGGCCTTTCTCTGGCCATATGCAGTGCTGAGTTCAAAGGATGCAGCTATTCGGGAGGCGCTTGGGAGGGAGCAGTACGGCAGATCAGGGTTGTCTGTCCTCAGAGTTTAACCTCCCACTACACACACAGTCGGGACAGCGTGACACCTCATGTAACTTTGGACTTCTCTTTGTAGGTGCCCCAGATCTGGTGATGAGTGCCCAAATAGTGCAGGAGACTGCCTATCTAGAGGACCGCCCACTGAGCATGCTGTCCTGTGCGCACGAAGAAGGCTGCCTTTCTGCCTCTGCCGATCGCATGGAGTGGCCCTACGGCCATCGCCGCCTGCTGCGCTTCTCCTCGCAGATCCACAACCTCGGCCGGGCTGACTTCCTTCCAAAAACCGGGCGCCACGCCTGGATCTGGCACCAGTGCCACAGGTAGGGGGTTCCCTCTTGACACAGCGCTGCCACTCCTGCCATATTCACCGCTAGCAGAGGGATGCAGGTGCCCTATGGAGCATGTGCAGGATTTGGAGCTGGATGCCAGAAACCGATTGTCAGGATCTGCCTGCTATGCATATGCGGTCCAGACTTCCTTTCCTCTCCCCAAACCCAGTGGCTTCCTCTCCCTGTGAGATGAGGCTCACGTGTCCCAAAGAGCAGCATTTACCCCCGGCGAGATGTTTTGTGGTGCAAGCGGAGTTTGTTGCATCTGGGAAAATAGCAGCGTTGACACCAGGCTTGTCATTATGGGTGAGCGGGGCTGCAGAGCTATAATAGTAGCTCAGCCGACAGCCCCGCCTAATCCTCCTGCACTGCCCGGCTTCATGGATCAGCAGATTTCTACTCCTCCCCAGCCCCAAAAAAGGGCTCCAGTGGCCGCTGCCCAGCCCAGCCCACTTTCTCCCCAACCCTCGCCTTCCCCTGATTGCACAGCAGGCTCCTGATGGCCCTTCCTCCCACAGGCACTACCACAGCATAGAGGTTTTCACCCACTATGACTTGCTGACTCTCAATGGCTCCAGGGTGGCTCAAGGACACAAGGCCAGCTTCTGCCTGGAGGACACCAACTGCCCAGATGGTAAGTGCCAAGAGGGTGCAGGGGCAAAGCCAGAATCTGGGGTTGCCTCTACAGCTGGGGTCCCCAAACTTTTTTCTGAGCCACTCCCCATCCCCCACCCCGGTTCCATAAAGTCCTCTCCAGTGGGTTGGACTAGATGACTCTCATTGTCCCTTCCAATTCTATGATTCTAAGTTATGCACACAAGCAGCCCCTGAAAGCAGAGGACCTTGGCAGTGATGAAGGGCAGGCCTTATTCTGTATCAGTGCATTGAGAACCCAGCCTATGCTCATTCCCCTACAGGACAGCAGCGGCGCTTTGCCTGCGCCAACTTTGGAGAGCAGGGTGTCAGCGTAGGCTGCTGGGACACATACAGACACGACATTGACTGCCAGTGGGTGGACATCACCGATGTGCCAAGTGGGAGTTACATCTTCCAGGTAAGTGGTGGCAAGTGACAGGGATGGGCAGGTGGACCGATCTGGACACAGAACACCCCCTTCCCACGATAGCTCTCTGAGCCACGCTTACAGCAGTCTCTACCCTCTGCCCTACCAGGTGGTTGTGAATCCGAAACATGAGGTAGCTGAGTCGGATTTCTCCAACAATGTCCTTCGCTGCCAGTGCCAGTATGACGGACACCGCATCTGGGTACACGGGTGCCACACAGGTAAGAAGAGAACAGCGAGGGAGCCTTGGCTATGGCCAAAGCTGGGTGGGGGAGATGCGCACTGCAACAGGACTGCAGAACACGAATAGTGTTATGATCTGGGGTTGTATGACAGCAAAAGGTGTGGGCAGAATTTGGGTCCTCAATGGGAATGTAAATGCCCCAAAATACATTCAAATGAAGGAAAGCTACTGCATATCAACCCAAGCAAGTTGTGTTTCCTTTTTCTGGTTATTTGGCTATAACTTTTGATAGAATACAGATAATTTTACAAACTTTGTTGCATTACGTTCTTCATTTAATTATCTTTCCATTGATATATATATTATGGTATTACTAAAAATAAAAGTGGTGTTATGAGCTATCAAACCTCAGAAATACACTTTTTCCAAAAGGTTTCCACAAATTTGGCCGCTAGTGTATAAGTATTATTATTATTATTATTACTACTACCACTACTACTACTACTACTATATTAGCCACCCATCTGATTGGGTTGCCTCAGCCACCCTGGGTGGCTTCCAGCAAAATATAAAAACACCATAAAACATCAAACATTAAAAACTTCCTTATGCAGGGCTGCCTTCAGATGTCCTCTAAAAGTCAGATAGTTGTTTATTTCATTGAGATCTGATGGGAAGGCGTTCCACAGGTTGGGCACCACTACCGAGAAGGCCCTCTGCCTGGTTCCCTGTAGCTTCAATTCTTGCAGTGAGGGAGCCGCCAGAAGGCCCTCAGAGGAGAATCTCAGTGTCTGGGCTGAATGACAGGGGTGGAGGTGCTCCTTCAGGTATACAGAGCCATTTAGGGCTTCAAAGGTCAGCACCAACGCTTCGAATTGTGCTCGGAAACGTCCTGGGAGCCTTTAGGATTGGTGTTATATGGTTCCAGCGGTTGCTCCCTGTCACCAATCTGGCTGCCTTATTCTGGATTAGTTGTAGTGTCTGAGTCACCGTCAAAAGTAACCCAAAGCCACTGTTTCTTCCTCTCACTTGTAGGCGATGAATATGGAGCCAACATAGAATGGGATGAAGAGGCACAGCAGAGACTAGCCAGCAACTTGGTCTGAGGCAAAAGCGGTGCAAGGAATTCAGGTTCTCAACTGTTCCTGGGCCCAGAACCTGCTCAAAACTCAGAGCAAACAGCAGATACCAGCTGGCACACAAATGATAGCTGAAAGGATTGTCTCCATGCCTCCCTGCCTTACCACCAGCCTTGGGGTGACATGCAGCAGCAGCAGCAGCAACAACTATCCTTGCAGTGCCTGCTGCCCCTTGGCCTGCTTATCCAGCCCAGCCTGCACAGTCTGCTTCCTATTTTTACTGAGGTTGGCAGCTACGGACGAAAATGGGGCTGAAATGAGCTGGGAGGCTATAGAGTCTTCTCTGTCCACCCCCACCCCTACCCCACCCAGGCCAAGAAAGTAGCACTGCTCAGAAGAGGCCCCTTCCTCTTGCCTCTCTGGCAGATGGGCACGGGAGCAGCCCAGCCCAGAGTGACTACCTCAACCAGCTCCACCGCTGAAGAATTCTGCCTCAGGAGCTCATGTATTTGGGGGCAGCCCTGTTTGCTGGCTAGTCCCACAGGCATCCCCACCTCTACCACTGGCACGGAGGAGCCACCTTCCTGCCCATGGGCACAGAACCCTGTGACGTATCTCTGAGTCCGAGGGAAACCAGGCATCTGGGCCCTTGCCTGCTACACACTCCAGCTGGGATGTTCCTGAGGCTTAAACTTTAAGGGATTGGGGAAGAGGGTCTGGTGCTATCTGTGGAGTTATTTAATGTGCAATGGACTGTGACGGCCGACAGCATGGAGGGCAAAGGCCCTGTGTAGGGGGGGGTCACTTGGTCACCTCAGGGAAGAGTCCTCGACCCCACTCCACCAGCCCAAGCGCCAAAGGGCTCTCCGTCTCCACATTTCATAGGGCTTGTTCCTGCCAATAAAGGTTGTTGTGTTTTGTTTTTTAAAAAAACTAGGCAATGGTGTTTGTGTGACTGAGTCATAGAGTGGAGTAAAAACACAGAGGTATGCAATGCCTCCGTTGGGGGTTGCTGCTTCTTCGCTCTTCCTGCAAGAGGCAAGACCACAGGGGCAAGCGGATAAATAGCAGAGGAAGGCAGAGGGGTGGGGGACTCTGAGGGCCACATTCCTTTCTGAGCAATCTTCCAGGGGTCCACATGCCCAGAATTGGGTGGGGCAATGAATGTAAACATCACCTATGCACAGTAGGCTGGCATCCCTCTCCTCCATCCAGACAAGAGTTCCAGGGCACATTCCAGCCACTGAAAAGCTCAAGGAGCAAAGTGAAAGAAGGTTGTGGCCTGAGAGTCCAAAGGGCCAAACAGAGAGGGCTGGGGGCTGCAATTGACTGCTGGGCCTAACATTCCCCATGCCTGGAGAAGCACTACTTCAGGGTTTCCCACATTCCAGCTGTTTTTGGACTACAATTCCCATCATCCCTGACCACTGGCCCTGCTAGCTAGGGAGGATGGGAGATGTAGTCCAAAAACAGCTAGAGACTCAAGCTTGGGAAACCCTGCCCTACTTCACGAGCCACGGCATTCATAGGACAATCCCTGAGAAGGCTCTTTCTCTCCGCGAATGCAGCAGAGGGTGGGAACAGCTGGTGACTATGAAGCCAGATGGAGCACACACCTTGCAGGAGGAGTGAGGCTGCTGTCCTATGATCAAGGACGACAATGTAGATAGCTATCGATGTGTGGTCACAAGTGGAGCCTTCATGCGATGTTTAAAGAAGTCAGGCTGAAAGTCCGGGTCATAGCAAAGTGGTATCTCTCCCCTCACTCAGCGCTGACTCCATTGCAGTGCTCCCCCTCCCCAGGCAATGAGCAAAGCCTGGAGAAATGGCAGATGGACAGCAGCTGCTTGCAATCCATCAGGTCTTGTGGGTTGGGGAGGGGGGTAGCCCTCAGGCCTGTGTCAAGGCATGAAGAGGAATGGGTGGGAGTGATTTATGCCTGCCTGCAGCAAAGGCAAGACCCTGCGGCCTTATTGATTCCCCAGCACCGCAGTGGAGCCATATACCAAGACCAACAGCTTCACTCTTACCTCTTGTCCTTCCTTGCCTTGCTACTGAACTCAAATAAAAGGGCCTGTCCCTGTTCCTAATCCTGGCCTGCAAGAGATCAATAAACACCCAAAGTTCTGCTAGCGTTCCAAAGCCCTTCTGGCAGTCAGCCCCATCTATTTCAGGGTGCATCTTGACCTAAGGGAGAGGAAGGGTGGAGGGCACAGAACCACTCCACAAATATATGCCTCTGTTCCACCTCCAAAGCAGAGCAGAAGGGGGAAAGCGAGCAGAGGTCAGCTTGACCAAGGCACTCCTGAAGCATTTGGCTAGACAGGAAATTACGGAAAAAGCAAAGGCATATAAAGGGCCAAGCCGAAGAGATGCACCCTCCAAATTAAGCAGCACCTGCTACATTCCTCTGTAGAGGATGTCTCACTACGCCTTCTAGCCAGCATCCAAAGTGTGAGCCAACATTTGGGGTTAAACTCCAGGGGAATTTAAAAATCTTCTGTGCCCCTTTTGTCCAACAGATGTTAGGATAATCTGGAAGGGCTCCATGCTTTGACAGATCTGGACGTCCTGCTCTGTGGCTTGACCAGAAGAGCCAACAGCAACCAGGGACACCTTGTGCAGCCTTGTTCAGGTCTGGCTAAAGGCAGAGAGTATTAAATGGGTTCTGAAGAGAGCCTGTTCATAGTATGAAGCCCCAGGAGGGTGAGGCAGCAGAAGGTAATCACTCCTGGAGCCTGGGTGGGACAGAGAGAGCAAGGAGGAGTGTTCAAAACAGGAAGACTTTATGATGTAATAAAGCCCTTGTGTGGAATTTAGCATCATTTTCAGTTCCCAAGGTGTTTTTGTGAAGAGTGTTTTTTTGCCCCTTCTTGCTCCCTTTTCAGATTTGGCCGCCTGCCTCTCCTCCATTTCTTCCACTTCCAAAGTTTGCACATTCTTATGAATTACACTTCCTTTGGCATCCTACACCCACTGGCACCCTCCTTGCTTGGGTGGGGTTCCTTGTTTTTAGTTGCTTCCTGAACTTTCAGTGCCACAACATTGCTTTGAAGATCTGCCCGGTTCCTCCGTTCCCAATAGCTCTCATGCTCTTGCTTTGACTACAACCTCCTCTCTGATCTTGCATTAAACCATTTCCACCTGTTTACCACCCTCTTTTTACGCTATACTAAGATTAGCCAGCTCACCTTCCACACAGCACTTCAAGTGAGAGAGAAAAGGGAAGTGGGAAGCTTTCATTTCAAAATAGACCAGACTCGATTTAGCCTGTGGTCCATTCACTTCAATGTTGGGATTAAAAGGATGTGGGACACCTTCATGTTCCTCCCTCCCCTTCCTGAGTATTACTGGTGTCCAATATTCACTGGTTTCCTTTGGAGCCCAATACAAAGCGAGTGTTGTTGCCTTCCTTCCCTGGGTGCACTTGCGTCCTGCCCAGTTTCATCTCCTGCTCTCCATGGCCTTGTGCCCGTGATCTCTCTGCTCTTCTGTCCCAGGACATCCCTACCTGAGATTTCTGCTCCTCCAAGCTCAGTCATCTGTTCTCTCAAAAGAAGGGCAAGGGAACCTTCTTCATTCTCAGGGCCCTATCTCCTCATAGGCAACTTTCTTGGCGATACGTTTCGATGGTGGACAGGGCTGGAGACAAAAGCAGGTGTAGCCACAGACAGGACACACACTTTGTGGTGTAGGCTACATTCCAGCCACAAGCAAGCACCTCTTTGCTGTCACCCAAGCAAGCAAGAGGGGCTCACGGTTCAGCGGCACATTCCAGCCTGGCAAAAGCACTCAGAGAGGGTGCAGAGCAGGGCTGGTGGGGTGTGTGGGCTGAAGAGAGTGCAAGGGCCAAGGAGAGAGGCCTAGAGGGCTGCGTTTGGCAGGCCCTGGACCTGAGGCACCTCAGCATCTTCATTTTTGTCTTATACACTAATTCACAACCTTGAAAGGCTGCTTCGAAGATCAAGAAAGGTGTACTTTGGGAGATCCAATTCAAATCAGACATTGAAGCTACTATAAGCTGTGTGTGTGTGTGTTGGGGAGGGGGAATGACAGGTACTGAAGCTGTACTTGTCATCCTTTCCTTTGTAATGTTGCAGAGACAGTAGCGAGTTTGGGAGGCTGGGGAAATTAGATTGGTAAAACAAGGGCAGAAGGAATTAAAAGCACTCTCCCAGACTGCCACTTCCCACATCTCTGAAGCAACCATATGGGGTTGCTAATTAGTAATAATACTTTTTTTTTTAATTTAAAGCATAGTTCTCCAGCATCCTATATAGCTTGGCAGTGTAAGGCAGCCAATTCAGAGGGCATGTGAAAGATAAACATTAAACTGGCTTGATGCTTCAGTTCTGCTCTCTTAAAATTCTCTTTCAAGTTGAGACCCACTCAGTGCAGGCTCCGGGCAATTTCTGATGTTGGGAAGCCAGGAGATACACATTGAGACCTGGTCTCTGGCTTCTGGGGCTACTTCAGCTGCTTCCCTGGATATTAAATCGGTCTTCAAAGTCTTGGACTCAGTCCCAGTGGACCTGGGTTCAGAGTTCAGGCAAAACATTCCTTCCTGTAGAAGACAGCCTCTACCATGAACTTGAATTCCCAGTGATACGCATCCATGGTCACAATATACGTTGATGTTTTCAGGCTCATTGCACAGGGAGCTGTTTTTTTTAAATTCTTTAAGTGAAAACCATCTATATTGCCATAACCAGAGTTTGCCTGACCACGATCTTCCAAGCGCTTGTCATTACCAACAAGTCCTACCCTACAGTTGTTTGCTGCTACCAAGGCTTGTCTGGTAATGTGCTATGCTGTCCTCTTGCAGAGTGCACATTTTACAAGAGGATGGTGGCCTTAAAACAAAAATAACCCACGTATTATCCTTCTGTACAATATGGGTCATTGTGTGCTAATGCACTTCTTTCCCCTCTCCCCGAGGTGTGATATAGACTCAAAACACGGTTGCCAACTATCAGCGCTGAAGAGGAATAAAGCAGCTGCTGCCACAGCTATAGGACTGAGTTTCTGAGCTTCTCAAAGAGGGAAGGGCATTTCACAAGAATTAGATGCCAAAGCTGGGCTTTGGGAAAAGGTTGTTTAGCCAGACCCAGAGGACGCAAGGCAAGGGCATTTGTATTTTTATGATGTGAACTGCCCTGTGATCTTCGAATGAAAGGCAGTATACAATTTTAATTTTAATACATAACAAAATAATAATGCCCCTCCTCTGCTGCCTTACCTGCTTGCACATGTGTGGGGGGGGTGTGCCCATGTTTGCCATGCTTGTGGACCTGAGGCTGAGTAAGGTTAGCCACCCCAACACAAAACTTTTCATGGAGGCTGGACTAACCATCTGGAGCAATGGACAGCAGAGAAGACAGTGAACTCTCCAGTGCTGTAGCCTTTTGGGCTCAAGTCCAGAAGACCAGGGAAACGCAAGGACAGCCTCTCTACATTTGACCATACCCGGATCCTGATACCATTCTCCGAGGTCTTTCTTCGTGTGCCTCCTCCATGAGAGATCCAGAGGGTGGCAACATGAGAAAGGGCCTTTTCTGCAGTGGCTCCCCTTTTGTGGAATGGTCTCCCCAAGAAGATTTGGATGGTGCCTTCATTATACACCTGTAGCTGCCAGGCAAATATGTTCCTCTTCAACCAGGCCTTTGGCTGATTGATATCCGATGCCCTTTCAAATCTGTTGGGTGGGGAGAATTATTGGTTTGTTGTTATTTTTACTATGTTGTGAACCACCCTGAGTTCTACAGGTGTAGGGCGGTATACTAACTAACTACATGTATGCATGTATGTATGTATGTACTTTTTTTTGGGGTGTACATACACACAGTGCTTTTTTCTGGGGTGACGCAAGGGTATGCATACCCCTAAACATTTTGTGAATCTCTGTACTTATGTCCATTTACTGTATTTATTTCTCCCAATCTGAACTATAAAATGGTGATTTTCTTGAGTCAAAATGAGAGTACCCCAAACATTCTTTTTTAGAAAAAAGCACTGTGTACACACACACACACACACACACACACACACACACACACAGATGGTCCCTACACTTTATTCTGAAGGCCTTCAAAACAATGGTCAGCTGCGTGTGTGGCACAAATTCTGTCTATCTAACACAAAGGCAACGAGAAGGAGCGAGGAGAAGAGAGACTGAACCAAGGTCCATCAGGATGGAGGTGCAGAAACAGCCACCCAATACAGGACTTGAGGCACAACTTCATGAGGAATGCTCTGCCTTGGGGCATTAAGGCGGCCCTGACTAGAGAGTAAGTCCCACTGAACTTTTACTTCTGAGCAACATGCCTAGGACTGCATGAAGTCTCCTGATCAAGGTACAAAAGAAACAAGCCAAGCATTTCTGAGGGAAAGAGTAGCCAGAGCAGAGACATTTCCAGCCCTCGTGCTGATGGAAACTCCCTCTCAAGTTGCTCGCAAGGCACAGATGGCTCATGGCTGCTGGCCTTTCATGTCGGCAGCCTCCGCAGGCTGCCAGAAGCTATAAACAGGGGTGGGACACAGTTTAGCCGCTGCGCTGTATCAGTATTTAGAGTATTTAATTGGCCCAAATAGACGGGGCTTGTTTTCGGGGAGCAGCTGGCAGGCCGGAGCAAGCCAGGCCTCACTAGGGGGTTAGAGACTACTGGAACTGCCAGGAAAAGCAGTGAGCACCCATCCGCCTCCCCTTCCAGAACGCTGCCCACATCAGAGTCCCGGGCTCCACCCTGCCCAAGAGGAGACACAAGAGAGAGCTGTTCCAGGCAGGGAGATGCCTGCGAGCTTGGCTGGCCAGTAAACACTCGGCCTGCCAGCACATTCCAGGCTTGAGAGCTGTCTTGGCCTACCTTGACCTGACCCCGGGCAAAGCTAAACACGACTGGATGCTTCTGAGACAATATTTCCCATGCGGCGTCTCCCCAGGCTCTGACAAGGCGGCTCCAGTCTCCCTTTTCCCTCTCAGGCCATGTGGCGCCACAGACACCCTTTCAAACGGGCTGGGAACGTTTTGCAGCCTGGGGGCCACGTGTCCTCTTTGGCAGCCTTCAGGGGGCCACATACCAAAGGTGGGTGGGGCCAGAAGCAAAAGGGACTGGAGCAACAAGTGCCAGTTTGCTCATCTCTCTGCATTTGCCATCCAGGCAGTGCAAGGATACAAGCTGGTCAGGAAAAAAACACTCAAGGAGGCTGCAATGCAGGGCCAGTGAGGGGCGTGGCCAGTGGAGGTGGGGTGTGGCCTGCGGAGAGTTCCAAGGGCCAAGCAGAGAGTTCTGGAGGGCCATACAGTGGTACCTCGGGTTAAGAACTTAATTCGTTCTGGAGGTCCGTTCTTAACCTGAAACTGTTCTTAACCTGAGGTACCACTTTAGCTAATGGGGTCTCCCACTGCCGCCACGCGACTTCTGTTCTCATCCTGAAGCAAAGTTCTTAACCCGAGGTACTATTTCTGGGTTGGCAGAGTCTGTAACCTGAAGCATCTGTAACCTGAAGCATCTGTAACCTGAAGCATCTGTAACCCAAGGTACCACTGTATTTGCTCCCCCCCCATCTCTGCCTTGAAGCATCAGCCAAGAGGACTCTGCCTCCCTACTCCCATTTAATCCTCCTGAGCACCACTCCCATTCTTATGGCCTTTGAATCCCAAGTCTCTACCCGCTGCTGGGTCTGGGACACGTTGGGCTGCATTTGGGCTGCAGTCTTGCCTGCTCCCTCTGTGCTGTTGTCCTTGGGTCTCGAACTCTGGGGCAATCAGGCAGCGGCAGCCGCTACTCAGAGAGCCAAGCTGCTCCCAGGGTGTTGACCCCAAACACAGGTGGGAGAGTCTGACCACAGGAATCTCCGGCACGGCCTAGCAGGGGCGTGTTGTCAATGTCAGTTTACAAGGAAGTGGCCAATCTGCCTGCAGCTCGGGCGTTTGTAATCAAGCTACCTGGAACAGAGAGGACTTTGTCTGCTGCCCCTGGGGAGGCATTCCTGAGAGGGTCGGTGCCTGTAAAGCGAAATCCAACCTTTCCTGCAAGCTGGCCAGAGCAAGCATGTTTGTGCTGTGACCTGGGTCCGGCAGCTATTACAAGCCCTATATTCACAAGGTGGGAATGACATGCTGTAGGGGCCTCTGCCAAAGCATTCCTGCTATGAGGAGGGGAATCCCAGCAGCAGCAATATCCTGGTAGGGCCAGGGATCTTGCATACAGCTTGGGTGGCAAAGGCCTCCCGTAAACATGCCAGCTTCCCAGCACGCACAAGGAAAAAGAGCATCTCAACACCAGCTCTTTACTGGAACTTAGCTCTATCAGGATTCTGCTAACATACAAGAGTTGCTGTTTTCTGTGCATCTGATGCTCACTTCCGGTCAGCATTTGGACATCCTGAGGAGCCGGGAGGAGGTCTGGTCCAGCCGCAGTGTTGGCAACTCATTGGCTGCCACCACCGACTGTTGCTGAATCCACAAGGTTGCAGAGGTTAATTCAAGAGCAATTTGGAAGGAGTGAGGCTGCGTGTAATTGCACACTGCACCATGTGATTATTTTTTTAAAATAAAAAAGCCTTTAATAAGAAACTCAATGGCGGGCACTTGATCATCCTAGAGGGCCCATTGTAAAAGCTGCCACAGCTCAGTCCAGTCCCACAGAACCCAAGGGCACCACACTACTCAGTGGTCTTCCTGCTGCCCACAGTGGAGGAAGGCACCGCATCCAAGAAGGGCCGAGCCAACGTCCTTTGGATATTGAGGGTTATGTTTCCATGGCACAACAAGTGGAACAGTGCCCAGTCTTTGGGCCAGATGCCCAGTGGCAGCTCTTGCAGAGGCACTGCCAACTCCAGCTCCACTGTTTCAGGGTCTCAGGTGCATCCTAGGGCAAGGCTTGCTGGGGCGCATTTCAGCATGTTTCCGCCGCTCAGGAGTGCCCATGTTCTTGCTCCTTAGCCCAAAGGGAGCGGCAGAACTTTCCCCGACGCTGCCGAGCACAACCTGCCCGCCTGCGCCCAAGCCCCAGTCCTGCTCAGGTGAAGTCTCAAGGCATCTCTCCCCTTTCTCCTCGAGATGGTGCGGCCTCACTCACGTCCTTCCCAGGCATCTTCTCGTTGTTTCATCTCCAAGTGCTTCCGCTCTGCGAGGAGAAAAGGGGCAGGTGAAGCCATGTGGGATGCACTCTGCCAGCACAGGAAAGCACCACACTTGGAAGGTGCAGGGGACTGCAGCCTGTTAGAATTCCTGCTCCATGATTGCAGTCATGGGATTGTTGTCTATCACATGACGGTATATGTTTTGATTCCACAGAGTGGCGCTTCTCCAAAGCCTTGGCGCTTCCTCGCTCTCCTTCCTCCATCACCTCCCGCCCTTCCCAGCGTACCAGGCTCTGCTCCCATGACACAGCACAACCACTTTCCTCAGCAAACTGTGGCTGCCTACCCTGCTGGCACTCAGAAAGCGTGTGCCCTGTGCTGACCTTGCTTCACGCCGCCGTGTCCTTCCTCCCATCTCAGCTGCACTGTGCCTGCCCCTTGACCAGCCTCTACCGGCAGTGCCATGCCATGTTCTGATGGGCTGCGTCTCACCTGTGCTAGGATCAGAAAGCCTGCCTGGTGACCCGAGGGAAAGGCTAGCGAGCGGAGAAGAGCAGGGAGACTGCAGAGTTGGCAGCTTCAATTAAAACAAATCACCTATTCCTATGCATTACTTACACTGCCTCCTGCAGCTGGCACTGGCTCCCAGTTCCGCATCCTGGAGCAGTAATCAGGACTGGAGCACCACCTAGTGCCCAAACCTGAGGATCACAGACCTGATGCCCCCATTTTACCATATAGCATTTTGGGAGAGCAATTGAGGAACGGGGCCAAGTATATGGGAGCGCTGCTGCTGGTGCCTCCTGTCTCATAAGCATCTGGCCAAAGCCATAAACTAATCTTCCAGCTTTTGTCCCTCGCAGCGCCATGGCAGAAAAATGGGCAAAAAAGAAAAAGAAAAGAATAAGAATCACTACTCTAATGTGGTAACAAAGAGGACATCTGCAAGGACAGTACAGTAAAAATATGAGAGCAGGGGGAGGCCTGGGCTGAACGAGGCTACAGTAACCTGGACATCATATGTATACAATGAGAAATCTGTTGCAGGAATTAGTCCAAAATGCTGTGTTCACAGGGCACACGCCATCATTGGCAGGGGTAATAGCGGTGGAAATGCTGCAGTGATTATTGGATTCAGATCCTATTCAAAATGCTAAAGTGAAAGCTATGGAGAAAAACAATTTTTAACAGCTTCTGATTATGCTGGGAATGTCAGAGAGACCCAGAGTAATCCATGCTCGTACTCCAGTTTCAAAAAGAATGACAGAAGGTAATAGAGTCATTGTATGAGAGACGCTTCCTCAGAAAACTCCATAAGAAGGGGCCGGGTTTGGGGGGGGGGTGGAGTGGGGGCTGGAGAGGAGCAGGTGTAGGGAGGAAAGAGGCTATATTAGAAACAGGAAAATCACGGGGAAATTTAGCACCTGAACTGACAAACATCTATCAACACTTTTTTTAATGTGCAAAAAGCTTGTTGTTAAAGACATATAACTACAGTGACTAAAATATTTGCATTGTTAATTACCTGCACCCTCTTCTCCTGATTTTCACTGCTGCCTGAAGGGTCTTTGCAAGCTTAAAATACTGCATTTTGTTTCAAAAAGAGCAGCAGGATTTTTTTAAAAAGGCAAAGCCTAACTTGACCTCTCTAGGATGCACGGTGTGCTTCTTTGAGATCAGAGGCTATTCAGCTTCCCTCTTCAAGCCCAATCTTTGACTGTCTCTAGGGGGCATGATCCATCAGCTCTGCCCCCATCCTCCACCTGCTTCAATGAGAGGCCCTGCCTCATCCCACTTCCCTGAAATCTCTTCTTCCTTCCACATTTTAGGGCAGGGGTGAGCAGCCTGCAGCCCAAGCAATGCATGTGTCTGAAGCAGATGGCAAGATGGGGCAGGAGGACCAGGAGGAAAGAAAGTGGCAGAAAGAGAAAAGTGGGAGAGAATGAAAGAAAGAGAGAGAGAAAGAGAGAGAGAGAGAAGTGGTGCTCCCCACTTTTGGGTTAGGCTGCCTCCACTGCTGGCACACAGTCCCCAACAGATCATCCCCAAGAGAATGTGGCTCTCAAAAGAAATAAAAGGTCCTTGTCTCCCTACAGCATATATTCCTGCAACAAAACCAGAGGCTCTGGATAAACTGAAAATGAACATGGGAACCAAAGAACTGCCAGCTCCTTTGCCCAACCTGCCAATCTGGAATACAAGACAGATCTGAACATCTTCTGGACTACCTGCCCTGCAAGGCCCATAGGCCTACTGTCAGGTTCCACTATATACAAAAGACTTTATTGACGTAATAGAATCAACTCAGCCCAGAGGGAGCCCTTGCCTGTGACTTTCAGTACCAACTAACCCTTTCACACCCTCCCCGCCCCAATTCAATCCAGTTGTATCTTCCATAAAACTCCTCCACTTCTGAGCCAAATCTGGGATCCTTGGTTCCACCTACTGCTACCCCTAGGACTAATACTCGGCCGAATCAAAAGTCACATATCCATCAGTGTTATGGGCCATACACCATAGGTACAACATGTGTGTGAATTTTAGTTTGGGCAACCACTGGGGAGAGCGGGAGCTTTGTGGATTCCCCAGAAGACTGGAGATGTCAAAATATTCGAGCCCAGAGGACTAGGACATTGGGAGCTGGTACCTGGACAGACATGGTACTCCCTAACTACTCCTTTCTTAACAAAGGATGCTGAAGATGCAACTGACAGCTGTAGGACAGGAGCGTAGCATCCTCAGGCTCCTGCAAGATGCTCTGCAGTGGCCAGCTCCTGCTACCCAATAGAGCCCTCCCAGTCCTAACAGGAAATAACAGACATGTGGGGAATCTGAAAGGACCTCACTGATCTCATTACAGTTTCCAAACAAGTATGGCAAACAGCTAGGCGGGCACGCTCCACCGCTGTTATCTAGCTGGTGCAGCTGAAGCACAGGCGGAGAGCCAGCTGCCATCGCACTGGGAAGAGACAGGGCCCTTAATGGATACAATAAGCCCAGGACAGCAGCATGGCTGAGGTGGCAGCTCATCTGACCATGGGTCTCCTGCTGCCCTGGAGAAAGCTGGTAGTGGTGGGGAAAGGGGGAAACAACCCCTTTCCCCAGCCAGGCCACCTGGTTCCCCCTTTGTTGTGCAGAGGATGCTTCCCTTAATGCCGTTCTGCCTTAGCAGCAGAAAGTGGAAGGAGAGGGGAGGGCTACGAGGGAACCCTTTCCCAGAATGCAACCTGACACCAAGGGTGATCCCCTCTCCTGTATCCCTGCATGTTTCTGTGACCTAGACATTGGCTGCCTAACAGACTCCCTCAGGTCCTCAGGCAGGCAGAGCTGTCTGTGTGACAGCAAGGAGAGTGAGCGAGCACGTGGTTGGTGTAGCTTACTTGCAACCCTGCCTGGAAGCAGAGAGCCAGACTCCCCAGAGACTCCCAGGACGTGGGTAGTGAGTGAGAGCAGGGAGGCCTGAGGCGGAGACATCGAGAAATCCCCCAGCATCCCTCGCCTGCACTCCACAGCCCCGCAGCCTGGGCCACCAACACACTTCCTGCCTCTACAACACAACAGCATCAGTTCACGTCTTTCCCCGCACCCTTAGGCTTACCTCGGGCTGCTTGCAGCTGCTTGCGTTCAGCTTCCCGCTCGGCCTTGCTTTGGTTGCTCCGCACGCCCAGGGCGCCTGTCACCAGTCTCCTGGCCAGAGCGGCTGAGGTCTCGGGGCGCTCTTTGGCTGGCTGCAGGAATTCTAGAGGAATTGGCAGAGGGAGGAGAACAGTCTCAGTGCTCAGAGTCAGGACTCCCATTGCTGGAAGATGAGAGTATTTAGGCACTACATCGGCAGATGAGTCCTTTTCCAAAAGCACATATTAAAGGAAAAGAGATAAGGCAGGGAAGAGCATCACCCACAGCCTGGGTGCTGCCCTCTATCGCATACAAAGGAGGATAGCAGAGGAGGCTGAGAGCACCTCTAATGGTCAGGAAAACGGGAGTGGAAGCAGCTGTCAAAGGGATCTGCCATGGGCAAGAGACACGTGGGAGCAATGGGGCGACAGTGAGTGTGTGGGAAACACTGGCTGGATGGGGTATGCAGGGCTGCACTGTTGCCTGCCTGACTCTTCTCTCCTGTGTGTCACACACCCACAAAGCTACATTGCAAACAGGCCATGTGACACCAGAACGTTTCGAATTGTTTTAAATATCTGCTTCTAATGTTATCTTCTATTGACGATTTTAATGTTTGTTTAATTTTCTGTATTTTTTTGTAAACCGCGTTGCAGATTCTACTTTCAATATTAATTTTGTTACTTTTTATTTTAATGCACCTTTTCAATTCCCTAGGTGTTGCCTGGCGTTGCCCTAGGAAGCCAACCAGACTTCTTGTTATTCTCAGCCCCGATGAGACGCAAGGGTGCTCAGGGACTAGGGCAGCCAGCAGGAACCCAAAGGGGGGCAACCCATTCTTATTGATTCTACTGTTACAGTTAACAAGCCCTGTTCGGTGCTAGCAGGAGAACTTCCACTGTTTTAAACTGCAGCTGTTTCCCTGGAAAGTGGTTGTAGGATTTGGGAAGCTCAATGTGCGTGTGAGAGAGAGACTTCCAGCAGACCAGGTTTCATAAGCAGTTGTGCTGAAGAACCAGTGCTCATCAGCACCTGAGAGGAGCAGAGATGGAGGGTCCAGGTGGGTGGGTGGGGCTGTTGAAGCCCTACAACTATGGCTTCCTACAATGATCTGGGATAATCTCTGCAAGGTAAGAATACACAGTGCAGCTATGAGCTACAGGCTGGAAGATGCTCAGCACCCCAGGCATTTAATCTCTTTCTTCTGGACTCACCAGAAAAGGCTCGGGCCTTGGTCTTTGCAGCTCGCGTGGCCTGGGACAGTGGGCGGGTTTTCACCATTAGGTGCTTGGTGCTGAGAGCATCTCGGGCTGCGAGAAGAGAAGCAGGTATCATATGGGGAAGTAGACTCCCTTCCCAGTGAATGCATTAGGCAGGCCATCCCCACCAGGTACCAAGAAAGCCGCTTCCTGTTGCCCAGTCAAGCCCTGCTGAAAAACAAGCCTCACCTGTGATGGGGCTGGAGAAGATCCCCAGGGCATGTCTGTCATCCACCCATTTAATGTCAAAGCCTTTCTTCCTGGAGAGCAGAAAAGAGAAATATGGGGACATCAGGGTTCTTGTGGGGGTGTTCAGAGGAAGAAAAAAGCAATTGTGTGCAGTCCTGGGAGGAGCTCAGGAGGGGGTGCAGGGATAGATAGGGGGAGTTGGAAGGATGCCTGGTGGGTAGTGATGCCAGAGCATGCCTGGGCATCTTTGGAACAAGACTGGCCTTTGCATCTCTGAGCTGGGGAGCACATCTGGATCCAGGTCTAAGGACTCACAGAAGTCAGGAGGCCATGGAAGGGAAAGCTCCGGGTGAAGAGAGCCATCACCCCCAGCCCTGCCTGCTGGGGGTGATCCACACTCAAGGAGAAGGTGTGACATGGGACATAGAATCGCAGAGTTGGAAGGAGCCACAAGGGCCCTCTAGTCCAACACAACGGGGACAAATGGCTCACTGGTAGATGCAGAAGACGCGCAGCAGGTCCTCGGTGCGAAACTCCGCTGGGAAGTCGTAGATCTCAATGACGTGCGGCAGCTCAGAGTCACTCAAGTCCAAGTCAGCCGGGGTGTAGTTGTAGTAGTCAAAGCGTGGTTCCTGTAGCCCCACAGGGTGTGGTCTGTGGGGAGAAAGCTGGAGGGAGGAGAGAGGAAAGCAGTGAGGGGTGGCGAGCTGTAGCAGCAGCAGTGCAAGGCCCTCGGCCTCTTGCCCCTTCCCCCAAAGCAGCCCAGGCCACTGGTGGACACCCCCACCCCAATGCCATTTCAGGGAGCTCATCCTGATCCCCCACACACCACCTTTGAAACGACAGCCAGGCGCTGCCTCTGACTGCGGAGCGCCGTGGTGCATCTCAGCCCCTGAGCCCTTCTGGCAGCCCTGGAGCGGGTGCGCTGGCTGATTGATGAAGCCGTGGGCTCGTGTTGCGGAGAAGGATTGATGGCCCACGGGAGATTGGGAGTTATTGATCAGGTGCCTCCTGCTGCTTGCATACTTTCCCCATTAACCGTTTCGCCAGGCTCCCTCATTCTTTTCAGGGGAGGAAGCTGGAGTGGGTGCCCAGCTCCCCAGCAGCTGTCTTCCTGCCTGCTCCGCGGAAGGGCGTTGGTGGCACCCAAACCAAGGAAGCTGGAAAACCCAGCTCACAGAGCAGGAGCAGCAGCCCCCACTCCCCATGGCTAAGCAGGTGAAGCTAGAAGAAGTGTGGGACAGAAATAAAAGGGGTGACTGGGTTCAGACACAGGTGGGAGAAGACCTGGGCCCATGTTTTACTTGCGGTAGGTAATGCCCCAGTAAACTCTGGGCCAGAAAAATATATGAATTGCGGAACAGTTGAGAATAATGACAGACAGCAGCCAGAGATTTTTTATTCTTTTTAAGACAGGCTCAGGGAGAAGACAGGTGTGCTGGGACCCGGCTCCCGGGATGCTGTGCACACCTGCACCCCAAAATCAAACAAAAGAGCGGGAGAATGAAGCAGGCTGATCTCACACTGCTCCTAAGGGAAACAAATTACGCTGTGATTACTAACACACTCGAGATGTGAGGTTGCCCTTGAAAACTTTTCAGAAACCACAGCTGGTGCAAAATGCTGAAGCCAGAATAATGTCTGGTGTCTGCTTTTCTGGCCATATTACACTGGCCTTGTTTAAATTGCAGCGGCTTTCAATTCATTTTCAGACCCAATTCAAGGAGCTGGTTATTATCAATAAAGCCCTAAATGGCTTTGGGCCAGGATATATGAAGGCCTGCCTCCCCTCACATGAACTTGCCCATCAGTTGTAGTCATCTTCCGAGGCCCTGTTCTGTATTCCACTGACAACATATGTGCATTTATTTATTTAGAGCTTTTATTTTCATCCCATTCTTTGGCTATAAAAAGCTCCCAGAACAGCTTATAAGTCACTAAACAAAGATTTCTCTGCACTCAAGACACATCACAAAAGGGAAATGGATTGGGAGGGATGAGAAAATAAGCAAACTCAGGGTCAACTTCTTTATACAGGCAGTTCAAATGGTGGAGGACATTGTCTTTTAGATGGGCAGTTAAGAAGGTTTTATTTCATCTGGATTTTAGTGTATATCCTACTCTGGATGTTTTATTTTGGCTTTTTAAATGCTTGCTAGTTTTAACTGCAGCGAGATTTTAACAGCTGTAAACCACCTTGGAGGATTTGCAAGAACCAAAAGCCAAAATGCAAACACGGCTCCTTCCCCTACAAAAGCGGAGAGGGAAGAGACTCAGGCCTCTGGGAACACCGCGAAATGCTGGCAGATCTCGTGTCTCCAGGTCTGCAACATCATGGCCTAATGAACAACGACTCTTCACTGAATTGCTTAGCCTGACCACTCAGCTCCCCTCCATACGTGTGCCTTGGCAAACCTTTACCCCCAAAGTCAACCATCATAGCTGCTGGGAGACTGAAAGCTGGATGCAGCTGTCCTAGGGAAACGCACTTGTGCTAGGTCCCTAAGCGGCACAGCTCCACGCACATCCTGTGGGCAAGGGAGTCTATAATTCAGCCAGACTCTGTCTGCTTCCCCAAGTACCTGTACCAACAGAAGCCGCGGCTGTACAGGGAAAGTCTATAAATTCCAGCTACTTCGGTCAATAAAAGACAGCAATTCAGATAATTTCTTCGGGAAAGTGAATTTGTGGGTGGGTGGAGCACGGAAGAACGAGCTGGCGAATCAGGGAGGAAGAGGTGGATCTGCAGCAAGAGGGACAGGATGGAGTGTGTGCCTCGGTGGATTTAACAGGATCCAAGCTATTAACTTGATCGTTAAGGAACCTAAGCGAACTACACTCGGTCGCAGCGGGAGCTGGCCAAGAAATGCTTGAGGGAGCAGCCTCTCATAACATTAAGTGGCATGGCAGATCTTCAGAGATGATGGAGAGCACACTGCATGAGCACCCCTGACCTTCACAAACCACTGGGTGCAGCAGAAGGCACACTGAGGGCCAGGAGCTGCCTGCCTCGGAAGGGTGGTGACAATCCATGCACAATGCACAACATGTACAAACCTGCCCACAAAGCCTGCTCGTCTCTGCACACAACTTCAGGCTTGACTGATGTGAGCCGGCTCTGCAGCGACAAAGTGCACACATATTTCAGGGCAGCGCAGTGGGGAACACGGCACCGCATCTTACAAATATGCTTGCAATGGTTTGCTCAAGGAAAAAGTGAGCCCATTAATGGGCTTCCTGTCTTGGGTTGCTTACAGGAACCGTGCGCCCTCATGCCGCATTAACACAGTCCCAGCCTCCTGCTCGCAGTCTCCTTCCCAGAGATTGCTAATGTTCAGATGTTGTCCTGTGCTGGGAAAGCTTCTGCCGGCGGATGCACAGGCAGCAAGGAGCAAGAGGACACAGGAAATGAAGACTGTCTGCCACGGCTCAACGCTCTCCAAAGATTTATCCATGCTGCTGCGCTGACTCTCGCTCGCTCGCTCAGCTTTTGAGACGGAGAAGACAGTCAACATGCGGCGGGGGAAGAGTGAAGCACAGTGGCAGAGGCCGGAGGAGCCTTATAGAGATAAAAGTGTGTAAGGCAAGAGGCAGAAATGTGTGCCCGTGACAGCCTGCTCTAGCACACTCCTCCCTTTTGCAGACAGGGCTGCCTAGTTACAATCTCTCCAACAGAACTGGCCAGTTTAGCCAAAAGTAATCCTCCCAGAAACACTGTATTACCAGCTATTCCATATTTTCCACGGATGACAGAAAAAAGCGCATCACATGGCACATGCATTGGCCTCTCGGGTGCGCAGCCTGCAAGGACAGCTGGGTTGCTGGTCAGTGCTGGGCACCCAAACTAGACAAGTAATGGCCTTCAAAACGACAGAATGAATTATTTTCACATTTTCCATTGCATGTTAAAGTTTTTGTTCTGATTTGGGAAGGATCATATTTTCTTCTTCTTCTTCTGAGTGAAGGGAGACAGGTTGGACTGGATCAAAAGAAACAGGAGGGATGGATCGAATAGCCTTTTGGTGGTCCCTCCCAACTTTGTGAAATGAAAATGAAAGAATCCACTCTAGACTCCAGGGCCATGAGGACCAAAGGCCCAGCCCCAGAGCAAGACCAGCAAGACCACCCCCCCCCCCAGTCATTGAAAACAGGGTTTCCAAAAAGGCTTCGCAGATTCCCAAACAGGAACCAGCAGCAGTGGTTTCTAGGTAGTGAGGAAATGCCCAAGGCCTGTGGCAGAAGAAGGCAACTCTCAAACATCTGCACAGGGCCTGAACATAAGCCCTTACCCTGATCCCCAGGCAAGCCTGCACAGAAGCATTTACTCCCAACTCCACTCTTACACACAGAGAATGAAGCAAACACATCTCACCTGCAGCTCAGCACCGACACACAAGCCATAACATCAACTCATGCAAAGCACCCTCTTTTGTGTATGCCAAGATCTGATCGCTCTCATTCTAAATCCCACTTTCACACACCCGAATCTCAGCGCAACACTCCTCCTATGCAACGAAATGAGTTATACTGACCTTGGTACGAGAAACTAGAGTAAGTTTTTCACCAGGGAAAGCAATAGCAGAGGAACAGCTTTATTTAGTCACGAGCTGTTTTCCCCCTCCTTCCATTTTTATCTCAACATATTCTTCTTTTCTTAAAACACAAGCAGGAGGATATAGATATGTGCATATCTGCATCAGCACAGTCACTAGGCTGGAGCTGCAGAAAGGAAGCCAGACTCTGAGCTTTGCAGGAATCTTGCCTGTGAATTTTCACTGCCACATTTCTCCAGCGCCCGGAGATCTTCTGATACCCGGACTCTGGGGACATTCATAGTTTAAAGGAGAAGCATTTTCACTAAGGACGGGATCTTCCTGCAGTATTTTAAAAACACTCCAGGGAACAATTTACTGCAGGACAGATGCAAGTTGACCCAAAGCAGGGGCATGTCCCAAAGTAAATATCATTAAATGCTCAGGAGAAATTGCTAATGTGGATGGATCCTCCATTAGAGATATTGGCCGGCATCACCCACAAATTCTGCTGCTGATATTCGTATGAGGAAGAGCACAGCTCACACCACATCCCAGAATCTGTCACTGTAGGCAACCCAAGTCCTGTCTTATCCACACAAAATCTTGTACCTCATTAAAGCGATACAAGCTTTTGTGTAATTGGTCTCGACAAAAGCCTCATGCTGTCCCTTGTGCTGTCCCTTGTCCCAGCCATCGTCCCGCCTTCTCTCTTTCATTATCAGAACTCTTTTCTTCCTCAAGGTGAATTTCCAGCACTGTGCCCATTTGCCAGGGCATTCTTCAGCTATATCAACTCATTTTTCTTAGCAGACAGTAAATCTCGTGTCGGAACTATGTGATTCTAGAGAGTCCAGCTATTTCACAAGGTTCTCAGCTTTTTAGGGCCGGGAGGAATCAAAGCTGATAAATGGATTGGGTGAAAAATATATGTGGGTATATTCGTGCAATCACACATAGTTCAGTGCTCATTAAGATAAATATGACAAGCCCGGTGTTCATTAAGATAAATATGAAAAGCCCAAACTACAATTCTAGGAGGGAAATGAATACACTTAAGAACATAAAAAGAGCCAATGGCCCATCTAGTCCAGCATCCTCTTCTCACAGTGGCCAACCAGATGCCCGTGGGAAACCCAAACCCAAGAACGCTCTCCCCTCCTGCAGTTTCTTCTGAAGCTTTATTGCCTCTGACTGCGGAGGCAGAGCACATCCATTGTGGGTAGCAGCCCAGCTCTCAGTGAACACACACATTTATTTATATTTTATTTAACAAAATGCACATACAGTATTGCTTGATTGTAAGAAGACCCTCAAAGTGGTTTACAAAGGCGGGGGGCGGAGAGTCAAAGGTTTGTTCTGGTACAGTGCAAAGAGACTGCTGAAATGAAATGCAGTATGGACACAGCCTGGCGCTCACAAAGGTTTTGAACTACAGCTTCCACCAGCCAGTATGCTTGCGCTGGCTGAGGCTTAAAGGAGTTGTAGTTCTAAGCATGTGAAGGACATCAGGTTGGGGAAATCAATGCCTCCACAATTATTACATGATATTCTGCATCACCACACCATCTACATTTTTTATTTTTTTTTGCCCGCAAGTACAAAACAAAATTGCGTCTCCATTTTTTTAAAAAAATGGCTAAAAGCCAACTGCTCAAGTTCATTCCTCACTGTGGCAAATGGAAATTCTGGGGTTCTCCGAGCGTGGCACTGTTACAAAAGATGCAGCTGCAATTGTGTTTAAGAAATATGTAAACCACATTAAGACCCCCTCACCCTGCCCTAAAGAGCCTAAGTCATCCCCTTAGACTTACCCTTAGCCTGCCCTAATGCAACACTGAGCCTTTTCCCAGAGTATCGACTCCCGAGACCTCACCTTCATTCTCTCAACTCTGCAGTCTACACCTTCCTCCAAGTGGTTACTTGTGAGATAATTGAAAGGAAATTATCCCTGACTTTTCTAAAATTAGTGCTTTCTAATGCAGGCAGTTTACTGGTATCAGCTCTCTGATGAAAGCAGGCGCAGAGTTTGTTTAAACAAAGCAAAGCGATTTCATAATGCAGAATTCACAATGCTACAAATAGGTCATGCCCACAACTAGGCACGCATCCATGCGGTCAGGCCTTTGGGATCAGAGGCGAGAGCACAGAGAAGCTCTCTGGCCACAAAACTCGTCTGCTGGTTGCCCCTTCACTTCTGTCCAAGCCCAGCCATGCTATTGCCCTACTGCTCTCCCTCTGGTGCAGCAGATCCAGCCTTACAGAAGAAGGAAAGCAGACCTAAAGTAGATCATCTAGATTCCTTCTTCACCACACCCGCTTTCCTTGTGTCTTTCAGGATACAAACATTTCCACCCAGCAGTATCCTGAGCATCGTAGCTGCAGAAACATGTGAACATCCAGTAAACCCTGCAAATTTTCCTTTGCAGCAGGATTTGTTTATATGAGCCTGGGAGTCGTGGAGGTTGTCTATGCGCCTTGATATGCAAGACCAGCACCATACAGAGATTGAGCCACACATGTGCAGCAAAATCAGTTTGAGGGCAATTCTGTTCTTGCTACGCCTTCGACACCTATGAAGACAAGTTCTGCTTGGTGTGCTGGCACTTCTGCACAGAGGCGCAATGGGTAGCCTGTGGGTAGCCTGCATGATCCGGCCTCACTTTCAACTGGCCGGTCACCTGCCAGAAAGGGAGATTTAATTTCCTTGCCGTTAACTGACTGGAATAAGCAGCAGTGAACCCAAAGCTACTTCCTGTAAAAGCTGCCCCCATGGAGTTTTAACAGCTTCCATTACCAGGAGTTTAGGATGGTTTATGAGCTAACCCTTGGTAATGAGCCTGCTTAGTTAATTTCAATGGTTCGCCGGAGCTATTAGCAAGCCGAATCCATTCAGATCAACCCCCGGCTCCTAAGCAGGCCTGAATGCACATCGCAGCAATATTAGGACACTTTGTTACTTTAGGTACTATTGTGTCACTCCAAAAGTACAGGGTTTATGGTATTGATTTAAGCTTTAATAAGGGGCTCTCAGCCATCCAGCCGACACAGTGCTTTCCTCATAAACGGAAGGCAAGGCTGCACGCTCCCCGTGCTGAGCTACTCATCGCAACACATTTCGCGCTATTCTTGCAGGGCGATATGCTAACAAGCCAGAGCCAATTAAAAACCTGCCATTTCCATGAAACTTCACGGTATGTCTCTGCACGCCTCGTGGTCATCATGAAGGCTCTGCTTCGTAGCAACGCAGCCGCCGTGCAGAGGAACTTCCGCCTGCCTTATTTTACGCATTTTATTATATCCAGTCAGCCAAGAGAGTTTGGCAAGCGTTGCGGAGTTCAAGGTGTTGGAGAGTTCTCAAGCCAATTGTTGTGCTCCTCTTGTTTAATGATTTCTCAAGCACCACTTCTGTTGGAGACCTCCACGGACTACTAGGCCGTTCGTGGTGTTTCTTTTGAGTCCTCCTCTAGCCTCAAAGCAGAATACATGTGACCATCTCCCCACAATTATTGAAGGCGACAGAAATCGGCTCAACCCAGAAAGTGTCATCATCATGCGTTAACTTTGCAAAAGCTTTCTCCAAACCCTCTAACTCTCATCATGACTTCATAAAGAAGCAACTTAGTAGCTCCCATGCCTCTGGTGAAAAGCTTCAAAGTGTGCAGGTAATCTGTACTAAATGCTCAAAAAACAGAGTAGAACTCGGGCTCTCTGTCTCTGCTGATCACCAGTTTCTAGTCCCTGTACATACAGAGACCCAATGTAGCTTCTCTCTCCTCTCCCTCCAAAAGAATGGAAATGTTTCAATAAATGGAATCTAAAAACTGAAATCAGGACAACCTACAGATTTAAACTGGGTGTGTGTGTGTGTGTGTGTGTGTGAAAATCAGTTTACTCCAAGAATAGAGGTTTGGATTTTCCAACAGAAAATTTTAAATCTCTTGCTTATGGCATGACCTTCTGGGAAAGGGCATCGGATAAATACTGAGATTGAAAGAGAGAAAGAGAAGGCGAGAAACAAAGCACAAACAAAGCTACAGAATAAAGGCATTGCAGACACACCAGCTCAGCCAGCCATGCAGGACTTCAAAACTAAAAATGCATTCTCCATAAACCAGCTGCGTCACGTGCTCCCCAACATGCAACTATCTCCCGCCACCATGTCTCATGACACCCAGATGCAGGAAAAGTCCACAGAGAGTACTCACCCCCGCCAGTAAATGCGGATCCAGGCAGTCACCATCGTCATTAAACAGAGCATCCCAGCTCTCATCTGCCACGCTGTCATCCTCATTGCCGGTTGCCGGATCAATGCTGGTTCCAGCAGGCTCCTCGCTCCATCCAGCTTCTTCGCCTGCCTTGGCTTCAGACGGATGCCACCACCTCATGCCCACATCCCCATGGCTTGGCTTTTGCACTGAGGCGTCCCCTGAGAGAGCACCTGCTCCCTCCATGACTCTCTCTGCGCTGCACGCCGCCTTCTTTGAGGCACATCCCAGTGACTGGCCAGCAGCCTCCCTTCCTTCAGCGCTTTGCTCTCCCATGCCCAAAGTCGCTTCTCCTGCTGCCGGTGCAGCCTCGGCCCCAGAGACATCGCCTTTGCACCAACAGGTGTGATGGGAAATGCTGCCTCCCTCCTCGTGTTCCCTGCCACACCCTTGCCCCACTTCATCCTCCAAGACACAATTGGGGTGACAATCCCTTGTCCCATAGTCACTATCTGAAGAGTTACAGCCTGCAGCCACCCCTGAACCACCTGCCTCAATTAAAGGGCTCTCATCCCTGTTTCCAGACACGTTATCAAAGCTCACTCCAATCTGATCAGACATGTGTTCAACTGCATGACTGGGCACGCTACTCTCATTCTCCTCGCCATGCTCTAGTGTGCTCTGCTCATTGGCTTCTGCCTGAGCAGCGACGCTCCCGTTTGTGTCTTTGATGCCACTGCCTTCCTTTGGTTCTGTCTGATCTGGAACTTTATTGGCCGTATAGTCCAACATGCTACCGTCACTCATCTCTGTCGGATTGGAGTTGCTCTTATTGGTGCCTTCACGTCCACCAGGCTCAACTGTCTCAGGGCAAACCAACGTGTTTCCCTTGCCTGCATCTGTTGGATCAGGCACTCCCTCACCTGCACATGCCGAGAGGCAATCCTCATGTGCTCCTAGGCCACCTGGAACCCCCTCAGCTAAACTTCCAGACACATCGCCCTCACTTACTCCAGCTGGTTCTGTGTAACCTTGGCTCGCGGGCGCCATTGCGCTTTCCCTGCTGGCCAACAGGCCACCGTCACCCACCTCTCCCTCATCCGAGAGCCTCTCGCTGCTGGATGTCTGCACACTCCCTTCACTCAGCCCTACCTGGTCTGTGAGGAGTGTTCCTGCCTGCTTGCTCACGCCAGTGTGGGGAGTCCTTTGCAAAGAGAAAGTGTCCTGCTCTGCTGACGGACACACGTGCTGCTGCTCCCAAGAGCAGTCTACCTCGTTACGCCTTGGCTGAAGCTGGAGCTCGGCCATCCTCCACAATAGATTAGTATGAGAGAGGGCAGTGCAGGACTCTGCGTGACGGCTGGGCAGTGCAGAGGGAGTTGTGGCTAGGAAGCTGGAGGAAGCGGGCAGTCTGTGTGACTCAGCCTTCTGCTGGGACCCTTTCCGAGCCTTTGGCCTTGTGCAGAAGGCATTGCTATAGCTCCCGCCTTGGGATGAGGTTCCTCTTGGTTCTCTGGGCGCATCCACTCCATCCCGGTCCTCGTGAAACAGGCCTCTCCCAGCTCTGGGACTCGGCCTTCCCTCACATCCTTTGGTGATCTCCTTCCCTGAGGAGCAGGAGAGGCTCCCCTCGCTCCCATGTCTGGTGGCTAATGAGGTGCTGGTTTTTGAGCCGGCCGTCTCGCGTAGAGCTCTGGGGACGTACAGGGCCTTGTCTGGCTTCTTGGGCCGTATCCGAGGCCTCTCCGTATCTGGCTGCATAGTGCTGCCAAGATCTGTAAGAGAGGAAAGCAATCAGTCGAGTGAGCAGCAGAGCAATGTAGCCCCACGCAGGTGTTTGGGGAAGCAGGGAGGGGAGGATAACCTGGAAACAGAAGCACAATCTGTGTCCCACCTGCTGCCTTTTACAGAGGAGAAATAGTCTACAGCCAGGGGAAGGCAGAGGTGGAACTAGATCAGTAACTCATTTCCTGGCCAAAGGACGGGTGGATTTGCGCATGCCGTTATGCACAGTTACAATAACCTCATAACCATGGCTGCATTCTAAGCACAGGGTACAGCTGCTTTGTCTTACTTTATTTTGCTTTCATGATTCAATTTTTCAGTGATTGTACCAGATCTCTTTCAACTTAAAAGAAAAATGGTACAGGAGTTGACTAGGGTAGAGGCATGTGAGGCAGAAAGGCACAAAGGCAGAAGTTGGGAACTGGGATGCAGCCCAGAGGGTCTCAAAGTTTTTTTCTCTGGCTCACACTTTAAGAACAAAAATTTGCTCGTGCCATGCCAAATTTTTGAAAATAAGAAATACACTGGAAAACACAACTAGGAATGTCATTAGTATCACTTGAGGCTCCTGCTCTCATTTGGAAAAGATATCTATATTCTTCAAATAAAAAATATTATTTCGATATTATACTTGTACTATACTATGTAACATTGAAATGTTTAAATGTTTATTTGATTGTCCTTGGGTTTTCCCACGACACTTGTGATCCTCTCTTTGAGAACCACTGATGTAGCCAGTTATAGAGCAGGAAGGGGGAGCTGAAATACTATCCACTGACATTTGACAACCTTGTGTAGCCTCTCCTCTCTACAATCTTTTGCCAACATGTTTCCAAACTTCTCTTTGCAACCATGAGGACTAAAAACATGCTCCAAGCACCAGTAATTTCATAACAGTGTGGAACTTCTAAAACCGAGGCGGCTCTATTGATTTGTTATTTCCTTAAACAGAGCTACACCTGGAATCAAACATTCTGCCAAAAAAGCTCTATATACCCTCTATTACTCTGTATTTTGATTATTCTTTTGTATCGAGGAACTACCCATGCATCTCTTATGTGCCTTGCACTAGGATTTAATGGCACCCGGCCCTCTTTGTGGCTTCCACTCTCCCCCTAAACACTTTCAGAAACAGCTCTCTAGAAAGCAGGGCAACCGTGTCCCAGGAAGTCACAGTGACTTTGCACTGGATGTGGGAGAGAGCTAATGTTACATGGCCTTTTCATATGCTGGACCTACAGCTCCCTTGCTATTTCCAAGAAACTGGTAGAAGCAAGCTCCCATCTGCACATCAGCATCCTGACCCCAGATGCTTCAAGCCCTAACCAAGCTGCTCTAAGGCTTTTATCGGCTTTGCCTCAATCCGGCACAGAGAACCACAGCAGTGCTTGTCGTTGACTCAGAGCACTTCAAAGTGCATGAAAGCTAGAAAATAGATTGCTGCCTCTAAAATGCCAGAGCCCTCCTCTCAGTTTGATTGTTTCCATGTCCAACTTGATCCATGTATACCGGACAGTGTTAAGTACAGGACTGAACAAGCAAAACAAGTCAAAATAATAATAATGTAGTTTTAGCCTACACTTGCAACAGTTACCTTCCAATCTCTCAGCTGGGGCAGGGTAGGGATGAGGGTCGGACGGACCAATGGTTCCCAAACCATCCACCCCCCCATGGACCACTTGAAAACTGCTGAGGGTCTTGCAGAATCACTTAATGGGTTTCTTTGTTTTTTTGGCCTGTCATAGCAGTTGATGTGCTAGTTGCTGTCTGTTTTTTAAGTATGCTTTTAATTGCTTCTTTTATTTCTACAGCATTGCATTTTATGGTATTACAATTTTAATTCCACAGAATTAAAACTGCACTATAATAAAATACAATATAAGAAATAAAAGATAATTAAAATACACTTAAAATCAACATATTTAATTTAAGGATGTGCCATTTCCTGTATTCAATCCAAAAACCACAGACATACCATGGTCCACCTGAATGGAGTTCACAGACCATGGATGATCTATCGAACTCCTGCTCCAGGCCTTTCTTTTACACTCAGACTTCCTAATCCCCACAGACTTCCTTAGCCCCACAGAATTGGCAATGGCCTTCTTTATCTTTTAGGTGGGGGTGGAGATCCACTATCAAGATTAGTCAAGGCAAGCCATCTCTTCCATACGTCTCCCCTCAAATTAACAAGCCAAATCCACAGCTAGGTCCCCTAATAAGGTGAAGTCCAGATACTAACTTCATCTCACTTTTAATAAACTGGGCATTAGCTGGCAAGACAGAGAGGGAAAAGCTGTTCTTATCTAATTAGTAAGGTAGGACGCATTTCTGAGCAATTACTGTTCAGAAGCAAGGTTAGCCCCAGAGGGTGACAAGGTAATATTTTTGCTGCGATCCCAAGAAATGCAAAATGCCCATTGCCTAAGAACGTGGCCATTCTTATTTTGCACAGAGCACCAGAAAGTACAGAAGCCGTGTGAAAGAATCCAGCGAGCAGAGGTCTCTAGCAGAGGTACCCACTATGATGCTCCGCATATGTTACTGGACTACAATTCCCATCATCCTTGATCACTGGCCAGCTGGCTAGTCCATCAACACCTGGAGGGCACCATGTTGCCTCCCTCTGATCTGGAGATATTAAAGGTAGGTAAAAGGTAGGTAAAATCTAGAGGTATTATTCTTGCTCAGGGAATGAGAGGTCCTGTGTTAAATCTAGGCGAAGCCATGCCTGAGAAACCAGTGCTCAGTGGCAGAGCACATGCATTACATGCAGAAGATAGCAAGTCCCATCCCTGGCATCCTTTTAAAAAAGGATAAGGCAGCAGATGGTGAGAAAGACCTCTGTCTGAGACCCTGGAGAGCTATTATCACTCAGTGCAGACAGTTACTGGGTTAGGTGGACAGATAGTCTGGCCAAGTAGTCTTGCCTAAAGATCTCCCAAATTCTGGATCCAGAACTGTTAAGGGGAAATAAATAACAACATGAGGAGTCCAAGCCACCAAGGTTGCGTGCAAACTTTGAACACCCAGAGATTTGGGTGAAATTTAAAGAGTCTGTGATGACCCATTTGCTTGCATCCATCTGGACAGGAACCTAGGCTTTCAGCTGATCCAGGAAGCAGCCCGTCCTGCTTCCTAATGCAAAACAACACCAAACCCCCGCTAAGTCCCAATCTTGCTGCCTCCAGGCGGAAATGATACAGACACTCATCAAAGTCTCCAGTGCTTAGATAAGAAGGCCAGTGTGTTGCTTTGTACACTCTTCCCCCACCCCTAATGGCAAGGGGAGGGGCTGTGGTGTGCCATCTCCTCCTTGCAATTGCATTCCCATGGATATGCAATAAGTGCAGCATATAAATCCTAAACCGCCAAGCACCTAAGGGACAGATTTAAGCTTCTGCAAACCAGAGATCTACAGAATATGCTAAACACGTTGTATCTCCTGTTAGCTAAACTTCTGAAAATATATAGCGTGTGCTGTATTAAATTAAGGTCCACACATTAATAAAGCAGCAGCAAAAGATGTTGCCGTGAACATATCACATGTCTGCAACGAGATCGGCTTTGTGCTATCTTCCCCTTCCTACTGACACTATCTAGTCACCTCCACACACCTTCCTGCGAAGCCTATATGCTGAACCTGCCCCGTTTAATGTACGGTGACACCCAATCCCCCACCTCAATAGACACACTCAAGCGACAACTAAGGAGATTCATGCCCCATCTCTTCTCTTACTTCAGATAAGAGAAGCCCATCAGACTATGAGGCTTATGGGAATGACTGCTGCCACGCCAAGCCCATCTTACATGTGCATGAGGTGTCTAACGACTGCAGGATAGATGAGTTACACTAGTAAGGGATAAATGAGTTATGGAAAAAGCTGGATATTAGGACTAGCAAGAGGAAGGAGTGCTCTTGTACCTATGGAAGTGAATATCTAGGTTTGACCTTAGTCAGCCCAGCTGCCACCAACCCTAAGCTTCAAAATATACAGAGAGGATTAAAAGTATCCAGAAGTGCTAGAAATAAGCCTAACATGTAGTGCAAGGACCCCCACATTTTTGCTGACTTGCCACTCACCAACTAGAACACCACTTGATGTTACCAACGCAGGATCAGTAAAATGATGAGCCAGTGATGCACTGGCCCTTCTGTGCTTGCTTAGACAGAACAGGTAGAGACAGAATCCCCAGGACCCCTGCCTCTATCAAAGACCAACCAGCACCTTGCATGCTCAGCGTTACAGAAATATAAACCCAAAATGCACAGGCTTTCCTCCTACCAGGACAACTTGTCCCTTTGGGAGCACAATGCAGTTTTCTACACCCGCAGATGACACAAGCCACACTGAAAGGAGGCACTCAGCCTCATGCCACTTTGGTAAAGGGTCTCACGTGCATTCTGCAAGTGGGAAAACTACACGACTGGCCACTTCACACAGGCAGCCAATTAGGAACAGGTCTGTGAAACGCACTTGGAAATCCTGGCTTGTAGGGCTTCCATTTCAGCTGATCTAGGGTCAGGAGCAAGTGTGCAGCACACAGTCTCCCTCCCCGAGCCCACTAGGCCATACCACCCTCCACAAGCCCTGCATCGGTGCTCTAATCACCAACGGCGCCTACCGGTACTTCTTTCTCAGCGGCAGGAGCGCAGTCCAGGAATCCTGGCTCTCAGTCCTATTGACGGCTGCTAGGCCACGTTCTCTTCCTCTCGCTCAAGCCTCCTTGACCCTTTCCTCAAACCCCAGACCACACAGCCTTCAAGGCTAACCGCCACCCTGAGGCCCCAGGTACTTGCGGCCCCCCTCTTGCCAGAGAGATTTATTTTTCATAAGCTTTGGCACAAACAGCAAGGCTGCTATCTGCCAGGCCCCAGGCCCCTATAAATATGCATCAGGCCACATTTATGGAGACGGATGGCTCGGGGGTCTGTCCTGTGGTTGTGGGGGAAAGGAAGAGTTGGGGAAGGGTGTGGCCGCAAGATTAATCACTGCCCACTCCGTTTAGGGGTATTCATCATGGCCCACTGTCAGGTAAATCACTGGAAAAACACCTCTCTAGTAATTAATGGGAAGTGACGGATGGACAGCCCCTGGGCCCATTAATCTGGACCATCAGAAGCAGACCAAGATTATGAATGTCAGGATGCATAAACTGTATACCAATCAATAGGGCCAGGAATTCATCCAAGGTTCTCATTTCCGAGGCACCTCCGGTACATTAGGCTCCGCTCACCTTCCCCGCCCCTGCTTCTCTCTCCCCTTTCTTCTCCCCTCTGCTGATTTGAACTGAAAACAGATCCCGCCCCAGCCAAGCAGACAATATGTACAGCCCAGACCTGGAGGGGCAGGAACGCCGCCAGAGAGCCACGCAGAAGCCTCAGACAGGGCAATGGAAGCAAACACCCCCCAAATGAAAATGCAGGCATGGCGGCCGGATCATCCATGCCGCACCTTCCGTCTGCCTGCACGTCAACCTGCTTCATTCCATCGCAAGCGCACATATCTAAGGGGTTAAAAAAAGTGGGCCTTGCACCACATAGTCACTGGATCGTACTGGTAATGGGAACCCTTGCCAAATGCCAGCCTCTACTCCAGTGAGATTCTGCCATGGCTGAAATGCAGTGCCCTGGATTTGGGGCAACCTGTTCTACCCAGAATGCAGCACGAGGCTCTTACTTCACCTGCTCCCACATTTGTCTTCACTGTCTGCTGACTCAACCTTAGGTGGGAACTAAGTAGGGCTGTGTGATATACTGATAGATAGATCGATCTTCCAAAACCAGTTTGAAGTCCATATCGTGATATCAGTTTCATAATTTTTGACCTGGCAATATATTGCAAATCATGATGTGTGTGCGCGCACTATGCAAAAATCACGATGCAGGAAAAAGCCAGAGCGCTTGCCTTATTTCAGACACATATATCAGTGCTATATCAGTATACCGTGATGTTTAGCTGGTGATATATTGCAATGTTGAAAACCAGATATTGTCCAGCCCTAGAACCAAGAGAGCATTCACAGGGCAAGGTGCCTGCTCTACACTTGAAGGCAACTTGTGCTCAAGTTCTTGTGGGACAGGTGTCGGATCAAACTGCTAGTAGACACAGTGACAAAGATGGTGGACACAGTCCTTTTCTGCTGTCTCCTGAGTTGCACAGGACCTTCACTCTAAAGCAGAGATGGGGCCCTCCAGATGCTGTTGGACTACAACTCCAATCATCCCTGACCATCAGCCATGCCATATGGGGCTGATGGGAGACTAGCAACATCTGGAAGGTCACAGTGTCTTCATGCCTGATCTGCAGCCTAACCAACTCTTCAGAAAACTAGAAGGACAGCAAGGATTCCCTAGATGGTGAACAAAATGGTTTTTATGCAGCACAAGTTAGCATGGGGGCAGGTAGTCAAGCTGCTAAAACATTATCCCCTGCATCCGGGGGCAAACTTTTTACACAGACTGTAAGGAGTCTAGCAAAGAGACCAATCCATTTCCTCACCAAGAAGCAGGCAGAGCTCTTGGATCTTTTCCATTCTCCAATAAGCTAATTTCACCTGCAGAATAGTCCCCTTCATCTTTATTGACTTGGTGAGAAAAGAACGTATCATTAAGACAGCTTCAGCCCAGAGGAGTCATTTTTCAGCACAAAATATAATCTATTTCTTTCCGAACAGCCACACCCACTGTGAACAAGGAGCTGCGCTCAGCTAACTGGGTGCTCTGGGGGTCTCTCACGGCAACAAAGGCTGCTACTGCTAGGTAGGGGCAACGCCACACAAAAGCCCTGCTCATAACCACGTTACAAAAGTCATTTGGGTGGCAGACACAGAACCGGGCACCATGCAGAGCGGAGGCAGCCTTGCGGAAACCCAAACATTTAACCGAAGAGGCCATAAGAGCCCCAGAAAAGTGAAGATGGGAGGGCTGAAAGAAGAAAGGAAGAGTTCCCCACCTAAAAACATAACGGCGGCTTTTAGGATTGAAAATCTACTGGGCTTGCTCTCAGGCCAGCCACATTCCAACATCAAGATGGCAAAGTGAATCTGGGGACATTTATTATCTTAGGGCTGCTGACATTTGCTGATTCCAGTGCTTCCTTACAGTCACAGTTGCTGAAACAAAGGGGGTCTCAGGTTCTCTTCAATGCTTTTTAGGCCTGATGATCATGGAGATAAAGAAAAGACGTGACTGCAATGCATCCGAGAGCTCAAGACTCAGTACCAGGAAGTCTGGAAACAAAAACCCCAAAGAATACAATACGTATTTTAAGGAGTGGGGGCTCTGGAACAGAGTCAATTTTTTTTTAAATCAACAGTATTAGTGACCCTCTCATCACCTAGACCAGGAATAGCTAACTGGCAGCCTGCCTCTGGCCCCCAAAGCAACTTAATAAGGTCCCAATAATGCTACCAAATTTTGAACTGCATTGTTAGAAAGAAAACCACACAGCTTTACTCATCAGGAAAAAGAAGCAATGAGTCTACGTCTGTTTCACTGCCAACCTGCCACTCGTTTAGGAAAGTTTTTAATGTTTGATTCTATTTTAATATTCTGTTGGGAGCCGCCCAGAGTGGCTGGGGAAACCCAGCCAGATGGGCAGGGTATATTATTATTATTATTATTGAAAGAATCAGCCCCAGTTCCCATTCCCTATTAATAATCCTGTATCATCTGATCACATGCTATCCGCATCTACAAACCCAAATTAACTACAGAATCTGGACAGGCATGAGGTCAGGTTGTTCCAGCTCTGGACAACGTACAGTCCAGGGAATAGAGTAGTCCTGAGAACAAGGAGGTTGGCTTTCCCTGACCTACACTCCACTGATGCAACAAGTCTTGTGCAGAGCCAACACTTTCAGATAGCCCAAACTTAGCCTGCAAATTGTAAGCCTTCCTGAAAATAGCTTATCTGTCTATCTCCTCCCACCCCACCACTGCTCATCTGACTGGAGAGTCGTCCATCATCTGTGCCGAGACAGCCCTGCCACCATCTCTCATCACAAAGCAGCACAACCTGCACCTTGCTATGGTCTGAAGAGCCACAGCCGGTCGTGCCTCCCATTAAAACCCTACGGAAGTCAGAACTTGTAGCCTTTTCAAGCACCTCTGGTTCTCCTTGTTGCACCCTCTTTAGGAACGTCTACCCTTTATGCGGCAAATACACCTATTAGACGTACACTGATGGACATGTACACAGTGTGGACATCACATAAAATGTGGACATAGATTTGGGAGCCCTGCCCCAAGTTCCCAGACCCATCCTGATGGTGTGCAACATTCATTTATTACATGGAAATACTAGCGTAACATCAATGTACACACAGCAGTTGTGCTTGTTGTGTCACGTGTGAAAGCAAGAGCATTTCTCAAGCTGCCCTTATCCAGGCAATCAAATGAAATCCAGCTCACAGGATGGCAAAGCTGTACAGCCCAAGTTACTCCATCTCTAAAATGATACTGTCGAGCTGAAAAAGGTACAGAGAAGGACAACTTAAGAGTGGAGACACAGAATCATAGAATTGCAGAGGTGGAGGGGGCCCCTGAGGGTCATGCTAAAAGGGGGTTCGGCCACCCTTTAAAATGCAAATGGTAGGGAGAAAGTGAATATTTCCTCTCTCTCTGACAACACAAGAACTCAGATCACACAATTAAAACTAATTAGCAGTAGATTCAAGACACACAAAAGGAAGCTCTTCTTCACCCAACGCATAATTAACTGGAAATTGACTGCCACAAAGGACATAGTGATGACCACTGGCTTAGAGGGCTTCAAAAGGAGATTAGAGAAATTTCAGAGGAGTAGGAGGAAGTCCGTCAGCAGCTATTTCACCCGGATTGCTAAATGGAATTTACAGCTTTAGAGGCAACATGCCCCTGAATAACTGCCACTTGGGGACCTTAAAGAATGGGGAAGAGCTGAGGCCTTGACGCCTGGGCTTGCAGGTGCCCCAGAAGAAACTGGGTGGCCACACTTAGAAACAGCATGCTGGACTAGACGAACACTTGGCCTCATCAACATATATTTAAACTATGGGACTCACTCACACAGTGATAGCAACCTCCTGGCTTTAAAAGAGGATTGAACAAATTCATTGAGGATGTGGCTGTCAATGGCTACTAGCCTTGACAGGTAGGCTCTGTCTCCACGGCTGGAGGCAGTAATGCTTCTGAATTATGGAAACTGGAGAGTGCTCTTGCACTTGGTTCCTGCTGGCAGATTTCCCACAGGCATCTGGTTGGTCACTGTGAGAACAGGATGTTGGAGTAGATGGGCCATTCGCCTGGACCAGCAGGGCTTTTGAAAATTATTATTTCAAGCACCCTGCCCTGTGCTGCAGGAAGCCTAGCTAGGCCATGGCTACCGCATCAGCCTCTGCAGAGATTTGTTTTGTTCTGTTTGTTTTTTAAGGGCAGGGAGAGAAACTGCAGCCCACAAATTCCATTCCTTTGGATCCTGTATCTCCCTCGCATCCGCAGTCTATTACACACTCCATCAGACGCCCCCCGCCACGCCTCGGCACCAACCCATTTCATGCTCAAGAGGGTCGAATCAGTGTCCCTTGGCGTGTCTCCTTTTCACACTACACCGAGCAACGTAACTTCCAACTTGCTGCACTAACTTCTGCGCTAAAGCCCTCCGTCCGCAACGAGGGGCAGGGCAGGAGCTGAAGAACCGCAGAAGCAACAAGGCAGCTCCCAGGCTAAGTCAGCCGTTGTGCCAAAACTGAAAGAATGGTGTTGGTTCTCAAGCAGACGAAGGTACGCACCTCAGCTTACTCTGAGGGAGACTTTTACCGCTAACCACATGAGCGTTTTTCTTCTCGTTTTAACTGTGTTTTCTTTTTAATCCATTCTCTATTATGTTTTTCTCTCTCTGCATCCCATCTCTCAAAAGTATTCTGTGAACCCTCCACTCCTCCTTTCTCTCTCCAAACGCTCTTATCTAGCTCTCAGTTACCCCATTTTCCTGCAGCTTCCATGACTTTTACTCCCTGTTTTCCTCTCTGTACCTTAAATGCTCTTCGTTTTCTGTATCACATCAAGTCTCTTAGGGTCCTCACCTCTTTCACTCCATGTTCTTTCCTATCAGCACCCTATGGCCCTCTTCTCTGGCCTCTGTTCATTAACCAGTCATTTCCTCTTTTCTCACCCTATAAGACTTTCTGTGAGCCCATTCATCTGCCCTCCCTTTTCTTCCTCCACTGCCTTTCTTTGCTTCTTTTCCTCTGCCTGCAACATTTACTCTTCCCTTCTTGGAATTCAGTGACAACAGCACAGCTGGCTTCCACTCTGCCAGCAACAGGTGACACGGCAAGCCGACTGGGAAAGCTGGTGCCAACTCCTTCACATGCCTCTGAACCTACAAAGAGGAGATGGAGTGTAGACAAAGTGACACTGAAAGCTCAGGTCCTAGTGGCCTTTTGTTGGGATTTCCTATGCAGCAGGGGAAAGGACCACCACCAAGGGGCATCTGGAATTCTCCCAGGTGGTCACAACTAAGCCACCACCAGTCCTCAGGCATCAGGTTGTGCGGGGCTGATCTAAGGAAAAACATAAGACAAAAGACAAAGCCCACTGAGCCTGCTGAGCGACAGGAGCCCAGAATGCCATAGTGACCCAAGCTTAGCAAAATAAATATATATATATTTAAATCACCCAGCAACCGCATCAGAGAAAACCCAAGCAGATGTGCCACATGAAAATGCACACAAACAGCCTTCTCTATAAGCCATCCTCAGAATATAATTCCATTGGCGCGCCTGTCTTGGCAAAAAGCAAGTGATATCCTGTAAAAGGAACACAGCCAGGACGAGCGACTGGGACCTGAAGCCGCTGCTATTTGGAAGAGAGAGCTCGTTTGTTTATCGGAAAAACAGGGGAAGCCTACTGTGTAATCAGGAGACCCCTAGAGCAGAAATCCATCCACCACACCAGCTGCAGCACAGGCTGAAGTGGCACCCCAGCAGCTCCCAGCAGCCTATATTGTTTCCTGGCAGCAAACTGTATTTTTAGCCTTTGAGGTTTCCGATTCCACTCAATCCATAATTCCATCAATAGAATATTTAACCTTAGAGCCTTGATCACAGGAGAGAAACGGCAACCCCTTGGACAGGGCAGTGAACGGAAGGCAGTGCTAAATCTCCCTTGCCCCAGAGCACTGAGGAAGCAAAGCTCACGCCGGCTCCTTTACCAGCCGGAGGGATTTGGCTGCTGCCCTCCCTGGGCTCAGCAGTGACCAGAACTCCATCTGCCCACCCGCCTCCTTCCTGCAAAGTGGGAGAGGCTCTTGATCGGTGCTTGGGGAACAGCAAAGTGCCCTTGAGGGACAGCACCAGGTGTCACTCAGCGCTCGCACATGCACAATGTCACTCTTTATGGCGTGCTGCAGAACGGGTGCTTCTTCCAAAATAATAACGCCAATAAAAGAGAGAGAAGTGCAAGGAGACTCCAAACAGCCCAAATTAGAAAGCCCTTTGGACGCCGCCACTCATTTAGTCTCCAGGCACATGGCAAGAGTGCCTCCCCCTCCCCAGCAAGGAAAGCTTGGCAAAGGAATGACGAGGCTGCGCAGAATCTTTTCCTCCAAGTTCCCTACTATAGGCCAGAGGTACAATACAAGCTAAATATAATCTCTCACACACCAAAAAATCCCACCTACCTGCTCTCAGCAATAAATAAAGCAGCAGTGGGCCAACCCCCAATATCAGAGTCCCACCCCAAGGAAAGCCCACCTTGTGGACCAGGGGAATGCCTATGAACAGCTAACGAAAGTCTAGCAGTTGAGACAATGGGCTGTGTGCATTAAGGCAACTCCTAGCACTCAGATCTGCACTGCTGTACAGGAAAAAAGAAATGTTGGTTCTAGACAAGTATGAAGCTTCCTTAAAAGCAGTATCCAACAGTCTAATAAAACCCAAAGCCAGCAACATTCAAAACTCAGCAGTCAGGAACCAGTTAATGCCATGGGGAGGGGTGGGTGGAATGGGAAGCATCCAATGAAAAATACCAAAAAAAGCAGGAGAGCCAATCTCAAGATGCTGAAGAATACTGCACTAGTCATTGATGCCCAATGTTCTTTGGCCAGAACACGCCTTCCTTGGGGGCTTTCATGCTTCCTTACAGGCAGCTCAAAAACCTCTGTTTTGAAATCCCTGCAAGGCAAAGCTGCCCTGCACCACTCCGACCATTCCTGCCCCTTCTTCCCCAGTCTTCCTGGGCAGAGGGTGATGTATCTTCTGTGGTGGGGAGGGCTACAACACTTGCAGGATCTTTCATACAGTGGTCTGAGGGAAGGCTATAAATATCGTATCATTTACGCTTGCTGTTGGAGCAAGAGTGTAAAGCTTCCCATTCAGCAGCAAAAGACTGAGCTGACTGCCATCAGGAAGCAGCCTGCAAAGCAGAAGCGGAAAAACATTGCCTCCGGGCTCAGTCATGCTCCCTTGCACCTTAGGAACACTTGCAACACTTGTCATAAAGCCAGTAAGTAGCTCTGAATCCAGCCAGCTGGATGGCAGGAGATCCATATCCCACCCCTGCCCTGATTCTCAATCACCTTTTAGAGTCATACAATTTCACATCTATATTATTCCACATTCTTTTCTTTTATAACAGGAAAAAACCCTCTTGCCCTCCATACTTGATTCCCCAATGAACTATAAAGACCCACACAAAGAACAGGGAATCAATTGCACTTCACGAGGCAATTCCAAACATGCAAAGACAAATCTCTTTAAAAATAATAAGACACAACAGAGGAAGCAGTTCATTTTCTGCCCGTTGCCCGTCTCCTGAGTTAAGCACTAACACCAGTCCGACATAAGAATGGGGTCTGGAGTCAATGGCATTCCTTTAAGACTGCATGGAAAGGACAGTGTAACAACGGAGGAAAGTGAATTAATGTCTGACCAAAAGAACTAAGGGAATTAGGCAGGATTGTACAGATATATCAAGGGCAGAGGCCCAGCCAGAGAGCACATCAATAAAAAGGGAGAGAGATGAAAATAACAAGGAGTCCAACAGGAATAAGATTATTTAAAAAGATGAGAGGAATGACCTTGTGGAAAAAATATCCAGCACATATACATCTAAAACCAGCACCTCCTGATAACATGCACACCAGGCCAAATCAGGTTTAGCTAATGAGATGACTGAACCCCAGATAAGCTACTGCTAATGGCAGGAGGGGGGGCGATCTAAGCAAGAGGCACCTTGCATTGCTGGTTCTTGCATTCCCCCCCCAGCTGGTTTTTTTTTAAATTGCCCTCTAAATGCAGCTTCTCCCTAAGCATGGCTGGGTTTCCGGCAGAGGAAAAGGACGTGCAATTTCTAAAATGTCTGCTTCCAAGCATAGCATCAATACAGGGTATAACAGAATGGGGAGACGAAGAACGAGTGACAGTGATGGGATCAGGGGCACCCAGGATTAAAAGAGCACAAGACCAACTCCGTCAGAATTGCCATAAAAAGATACCGAGTGGAGAAACAGCATTAAAATTCGATGCAACTGAACTTCAGGGAAAGTTTCCTCAATTTTTATTTCCCAAATGCCTGACAATTACATTTGCAGATGACACTAAAGGGGAATTTGCGGCAAAGAGCTGAGAGAACAAGGAAATAATTCAAAGGAAGTGAGGGAGGCTAGAAATAAGACGCGATTCAGCCGGGCAAGGCACAGCTTGCAGAGACGGGAAATGCAGACGCTGAGCAGGGACAGAAACCTGGAAAGAGACACAGGGTGAGAGCAAATTGGAGATGAGCTGACAATGATGAAAGGGCTGCTGCTATTTCAGGCTGCAGAAACATCACACCCCAGAGGAAGGGGGGATGACAGGCAAGGTGCACCCACAATCGGGAAGATCAGCTTTGCCCAAAGGAACCCGGCAAAGTGGATGGAATTGGTGGGGCAGACCTGGCAGATTAAGAGAGCCAGATGCCAAAGGAAGTGACATTCTCAGTGGTGGGTAGGCCTTTGATCTCCCATGCGCAAGATGCCCCTCCATGAATCCCTTAGGCAAGCTCCTCCTTTCCTTCAGTTCTGTGCTCAGACAGCCATATTCAACACTCAGTATGTCCCTCTCCCACAAGAAGCAGCCTTTCTGTTGCACAGGGTCCATATAGGCTCACCAAGACTGTAAAGCCCAAAGAGGGATGGCAATGGGCCTCAAGCCATCCCTAGTGGCAGCTCTTGCAGGACAGCTGACAGGCTTCACAGTGAGAGGCTGGCTGTACTGCCTGCCCTTCCTGACCCGGCCTTAGTACCCACACTCCTGAGAATAATTCATGCCCACTAAGCCAAAGGATGCCTGCTTGGCCCTTCCCACACCCATCCACTTGAAGCCCACACAGCAAACGTGAAGCCCACAATTCCTCAAACATGGGCTGCAGCTTCAACAGCTTCACCCATTAGAAAACTGAGTTCACTGGTCAGAAGTTGGAATCCATAGAATTCTATTTTTGCAAAGGGCAGTAGGTGTTGAGTCTCCTAGGCTGCAGAGGAAATATTGAAAACCTGGAAGGGAGACAGTTATCTAACTTGTTTGCTGCTCTCTTTGCAATTTCCCCCCAGTCACTTTGTGCTCCCCCAGCACCTCTATGCTTACATCTCACTCTCTTAATTGTGTGAATTTCTTCCCCCAAGTAGGAACTGAGCGTTTTAACAGGAGTGGAGAAACACAGTTGATTTGGTTTGGGACACATAATGGAAATAGGGTGTTCACAACTTTAAAATATGGAGTTCAGAGAGAGAGAGAGGAAAAAAATGAAGTTGAGCCCAAAGGTTACATGATACATTAAATGCTTTTCAGAAAATAGATTCAACTAGGGGCCTTCAACCTTCTGGAGCCAGGGACACATTTGGAAATCTAAGAAACTGTAGTGGGCACCACAAAATGCCCATTTCACAAAAGAAGAACTGGGGATGCCCAGAAACATGCTCCTAAAACAAGTGGAATACCTACATGCATCCCAAAGAAAACAACACACTGGGGGGGGGGGACAGGGAAACACCCCCCAAATCACAAATGGCCAAAAAAGGCAGGTGCTCAGAAGGGTGTCTGAGGACACCATGATGCTCACGGCTGCCATACTGGGGATTCATTAATGTACTCAACAGCAGAGTCCTAAGTTTTTTTTATTTTGATTGTAATCTGAAATGACAAAAGGCTCTAAATCACAGAAAAGCAGCACACAGCCAGGCATAGGTTGCTGGCATCCACCTTAAATAACATAATTTATACACTGCTCAGGCTTAGTAGGTGCTACATGTGCTTGCCTAATGAAAGAATCTGCAAAGTTCAAAAGCCTGGTCATGTACACACCAACGTGTCAGCAAAACCACATTTATGCCCCTAACTAAATCCTGGCCTCTCCTTACTAAAGGACTACCCAACACTTCTCCCCATCTGAATTCCAGGACAAGCACTGTTCTTGCCAGAAAATGATCCACCACACAGCTGGTCACCAGCAGCCGCCTGTGAACAAGACAAGAGAGCTGAAAACACCACAATGAAAAATGGCACTTATGGCAAGCACTAGCAGGAGACAGTGAAAAACACAGCCTAGTGGCTGGGAGCGAAGGGATGTGTGTTTTATGAGGCATCGAGTGCCTGGGACTATGAGTGCGTCAGGAGAGGAGGGAGGTACGCCGCAGCTCTTCTGAGGGACACCATATAACTTCCCTCCTGCAGGGGCTCTGACAAACAGAATTTCTTTCTAATTCAATAAAGGCCCGGCGGTTACCATGGCTCATCCATTGTACCCAAAAGGGTTATAGCTGCTGCTCACATAATTTTCCCCTGTCCAAAATGCACAGGAAAAAGGCTCACCTGGTGGGTGAGGGGCAGTGATGACCTTCCCAAAATGCAGCACCATTTAAAAGGCAGGGAAAACACAAAGCACTGCCAGAACTCAGAGCAGGAGACCCACGTAAGGTAAGGAGAACAGTGTCTCTGAGACTGCTCTAGGCAAGAGGGTTCCTAGGATCAGGAGTCTGGATGTGTGGTGGGGGGAAATCTGGTACAAGGAGTTTCAAAGACAGTTCATTGTACCAGGGATGGGTAACCTGTGGGCCTCCAGTTATTGCTGGACTCCAGTTCCCATCAACGACACACAGAACAGCCAATGGTTAGGAATCATGGGAGTTGTAGTCTAAGATATTGAGGGCCCCCACCACTGCCACTGCCTTAATCTAATCTAATCTAATCTATTCCAGGGCTAGTCATGGATACTTTCACATCCCACACAAAAGTAAGCCAGAAACTATAGACAAAGACAACTGAATATCATGCAGGGCAGTGGGGGATAACTGAAATTCTTTTATCACTCTTACACAAAGTAAATTTACCCAGATGCATATATTTGTACTGGCTTCTATTATCTTCCAGGCATCAGGCTGGTTGTGAACTAGAAGGCTTTAAGAAACTGAGCCAATGTATCTAAGGGGCTACTTCTTCTCCTATGCCTTGTTGCAAAATTAACTAAGATCTCTTAGTGGACAGTTGTTATTTGCCCACTGAAAAGGATGTTAAAATTTACATAAGCATCTTGAATCCTTTCACCACAGCTTTTAAATGCCTTTTCCATTGAGACATGATACATAGGATTTCAGCCATAGAGTAGACCTGCTGCTGGTGGGGAAAATACCATGTTGATTGCTTTTAGGGGTGAGTAGGAGACCATTTTTTAAAAAAATATAAAGCAACAGAAACCTCGTGGATCTGGTGTGTGTGTGTGTGTGTGTGTGTGTGTGTTCTAGTACCAGAGAGAAGCACTCAGCATTTAAGCAACTGTTAAGACAGCACCTATCTGGAATCACACCATCTTCCCGATTAGAAAAGCAATGAAAGGCAAATATGACTTTAAAAAGAGTTCTCTAAAACGGCACAAACGTCAGGAAGAGTTGTGCTCCTCAGTGCCACTGATGTCACAGGCATTATCCAACCGAAGCTCATCATAATTGCAAAACTGTATTTCACGAGGTAACTCACAAGCTTCTACTAAGGAAAGATTTACCCAGTGACAAAGCGCTGAGGCATGCGCGATGGGGAAATGCAATAACCCCACAGCAGAAGTGTGAACTTGAAGGAAGAGGCCCGGATCCCTTTGAACAACTGCCCTTGTGATGCGCAAACACGACGCCCATCTGGAAAAATTCTAACACAAGGCTGAATCTCCCTGGACAGCAACCACCCGGCCCCCACCTGAACCACGGGGCAAGGTTTTCCAGTCAGCGTGGGGCTTCCAGGTAAAAATACAACCCGCCTGTCCTATTGCTTTATATGGATAAAAGTGATCTTGGATATCACATGCAGAGACGAATCAACTATCTAAAGTTTAAGCCCCAGCCGCTTCCTTCGTGGAAATAAACTGCTCCCCGCCTGTTGCTCGAGTGCAATAAGCTTCTGCGGGGAGGACGCAGCAATAGCCCCCGTCACATTATGGGATGGAGGAACACCGCGGGGTGGGGGGGAGGACCAACAGCAAAAGGTGTCGATATTATGGGAGTCCAGTGCTAAAGTGGGAAAAGGGCAGGAGGAGGAAGGCAAATAAGCTGCTTTTAGGACCCGATATAGGAAAGTTTGGGGGGTGGGGAAGAGACAAGTTACCGGGCGCACGGCAGGGTCGTGCTGGCTCTGTTGCTTCCGCCTTCGCCGCTTCCGCCCGCCCCCAGTCTGGCCCCGCCCCTCCATGGCGAGGAATGCTGGGAAATGTAGTCCGTAGGGGTGTAGGCGTGCCTGCTCCGCAAGCGTCTTCTCATTCCATCGCGTTCTGTCTCTTTGCTTTGGCGGATGCCGTTCACAGCACCCACGAAACGACCCAGTGGCATTCGCGCAGTCGGCTCTCCGTGCTGCCATCGACTGCAGTGCTGGGGTGTAACGCGGCTGGGAAGAGGCGCCTTGTGACTGTCCGGAACCTATAAAGCATTCCCACACACCCACTCCCCGTGAATCACACGTGCGTTTCTGTCATCAGCGGGGGGAAAGCATCTGCATCTGTTCACACGTACTCTTTGCAATCCCCGAGGAAGCAGAAGGCGCGCTTCCGGGTATAGATTTGAGGGAAACTTGATGTGCCCTCAGCACCCAAAGACAATCAAGGTATTTGGGTCGTGTGAAAGGTCCCACGTAGGTAAATCCTGAAGATGGAAAACGGGGGAAAGCCCACCGCCTGCACCGTGGAACATATGTGTGGTTGCTTAAGGAAAGGCACTTTGCACATGCTCAGAATACTTTTTTATAATAACAAATATATATGTAGTTTCCACAACTCCGCTGCCTTGCAGGATATCTTTTTTAAGAATATTTTTTTATTAACTGACCAATCACATCAAATCAAACCAAATTACATAAATTCCAAATTACACAGCCGAATTTTAAATTTTTGTTAGGGGTACCCATATTTCAAGTTCCGAAGGAGATCCAATCAACTTCTTGCTTCTTACTGCTGTTTTAATGTCCACAAATCTAACCTTATGATGTTCACAGTACTATCCAGTCCTTTCTTATTGTTTTTCCACATCTCTTGTTGTTATTTTCATATATTTTTCCTTTCTCTTTGTGACCTCTGATAGTCTCCACAAGCTGGTTAGAACAGTTTGTAATCCTGCGTGGATATTATTATTTTAATCCAGTGGCCATATCCAGACGTTTTCCATATAACATCACTTCCATACATCAAAACAGTCTTAGTGTCATTAATCTTCACCAATCTGCCTCCTTTCTCAAAACCTCTGAGGAGATTCACCAGGAATGCAGTCTGCAAATAAGTCCGTTCCTCCTCCCGGCTATAAATCCTTTGGCAAGATGGCGACTCCGAATTAATTGCTGCGCCATTCCAAAAGCTCTTATTGCTTCTTGATCTCCATAAAGCATACTTTTGGTTAAAGTTTATCTCCACACAGACCTTAATCATCCTGCTTGGGTCAGTTCAACCGACGATTCTAATGAGGAGGGGTTCTTGTAAATCACATAGAAGGAAAGTAAAAAAGGTTCCCTCCCCCCATTCAGTCCCGTTGTCAACATACCCAGCCTTTGGTGTATCTTCATTGTAAAATATTCCTGTTTCTCCAACCCGTCGTCGTCTTTCGCAGAGGTCACTTAAATTAGCAGATTTCACTCCCGTTCTTCACTTGAAATATGTGCATTTGCTTCTTTTGTAATTAATTATTCCAAATTGCTGCAGCTAGTGCGCGATCAGAGACAGCATCCAGGAAAGCCGAGGTCCACACGGGGGCATTCTGCCTAGGGCCCTCACCCCCTTCTTTCGAATTAGGGGGTGATTTATGGGCACAGCAGGCAAGGGCAGTGTTCCCCATTTCCTTGGGGCAACAAGGGAGGCTGCCTACTCCCATAACAGCCTCTTAATTACCCCGTGTGGGTTGGAGAGATGGTATTGTCGGCCATCTTCCAAGGCGCCCCTAGTGGCCCCCCTCCTTGCAGGATATCTTTGGGTGGAAATCTGGAGTGGAATCCCTAAGATGATTGGATGGTGTCTTGTAGGCTTCCTCCCGGCAATTTCTGCAGTCAAGCTGGTGCCCAATGTATTTCTCTGCTTTCCTTTGAGCCACATCAACAAGGCTGAGAGCAGGGACTTGCCTCTGGGCAGCCCTGGACCTCCATACATTGCCCAGACTTGCACCCGAGGGAGGTCACTTTGGTGCTACTAACACAGTGGTTTGACTTCACCCCCGGAGGCGCACTCCATTGTCTATTGAGACAGATATATGCCAACAATAGGCTTCTAAAGGCAGTAGCTCGGGGGATCATCACAAAAATAAATTCAACACCCCCCCAAAAAAAACTGCTATGAAGCTGTTGCAGCAAAAAGCAACACTCCTGTGGCATCTTAAAGACTGACAGGTTTATTGTGACATACAGTAAACATGTTAGACTGTAAGACGCCACAAGTCTCTTTTTATATATATAAAGAGTCGGTAGGTCCCATGGGCTCACTTTCACCTGATGCAGGTGACAGAATTGGAGTGGGGGAGGAGAACCTTCAACTCAGTCAATAGGCCATAACTTCAGTAAAAACATATTTAGGATTATCGTGAAATTCTCTGTGATTTCTCTTTCAGAAATCTAAGTTGCAGAACAAAAGCCACACCTTCTGTGCCATTCCAATATTCTTCAGTGGTGTCTCTACTATGCACCCAGCCAGCCCCACTGGCAACTGCTGCTGAGTAAATCACACCAGTCCAAGCTACCTCACTGGTCTGTGAGGAGGGCAAATGCCACAAACCGGAACAGCTGCAGCAGTAGCATTTATTGTTCCAGAGTCAAGTCCTAGTAAGCCATGTCTCCATTCAACCAAAGTTCAGAGTACAAGACTAATTTCAACTGACAACTCCAGATACAACTCCCCCCCCCCCCCGCAACACAGTTAAATCTTACTCTGACATTAGGCATGGGACAGGGTCTTCTACAGCACCTGAGGACAGAAGGGTGGGGGTGGGGCAGGGTGGGCCACATGCCACACCTAGGTCTGTAGGCTCCCTTCGTTTCAGTTGAGGTGACTGTTTCACTATTTCCTGGTAGAGCTGGCCATGGGTGTAAAGCCATCTAGGAGACCTACCTGAAACCTCCAACAATGGCCTTGCTTTGACTGTGACAAAATGTAGCATCTAGAAGACACGTTATTGCCCCACCAATGTTGCCACAAAAGATAGTGTTCCCTAGTCCATGTCAACGATTAGTACTGAGGGTCAATTAAATAAGCCAGTTGTAACTGGGATTCCATCACATCCATGGGCCTAGCACTGTCACAATAAATAAATAAGTTGTTTGCTGTAATTGTATGATTTAGGGACTAGCTGCTTATCATATATGGGCCAGGAAGTAGTCCCCTCTGCAAAAGGGGGCCTGGCTCATTAGCTTGAGTCTCCTTGAGCTATTTATCTTGTAGGCTCCCATCTGTGGTGCATCCACAGCTGGTTTGTGGCACATTGTAAGCTGATTTTCTGGAGGCTGGTGCTTCTGCCTTGTACTGAAGCTTGTACCGGAAGCTTTTTTGATGTTTTATGATGTGACGGAGATCTAGGGCATAAAAGACTGACCCATGTGGAATGCTAAGTCCCCCAGGTATTCAGGCTAAAAGGAGACTACCTTTTTCTCCTGAACTTCTTTTCTCTCTGAACACTTCTGTTTGACGCTGCTTATCTGATTCTGGTGAGCGTGTTCATGTGTAACTGAAGAATGGCAATGCCACATTGCAGTGTCACACAAGCACCAACCAGCAGGATCTCTTGAGAACTGCCAAAGCTGGAAGGCTGATGCTGATAACAAGACACTGACAACACTGAAAATGCACATGTTTTGAGTAAAACTGGAGCCAACAGGGAGTGCGGCTGGGAGGCACACGTAGCCAAGATTTATGGGATTGTCAGGATCTAGCTCTGGGTTAAGACTCTGCGCAGAAGAGTTGCGTCTTTAACTTCCTTGGACCTTACCCGATTATTAGCTGAGAACCTCTGGGAGTTACAAATTACTGTGCTAAAGTCATCAGACCCATATTGTAGTTGGCTCACCAACAAATTGGTTTTTCTGGACCTTGGTAGAAGCATGCTGACATCTCCCAGTTGGCATGTGCTTGGATCTACATGTTTCTTTTTGAGTCTAGAGTCTCTGGAGTCTCCCTTTCCTGGAGATTTAAGCCATGCTAGGATTTTCCCCTGGTACCATAACACCTGGCTCCCTCTGAATCCACAAGATACAGTAGTTTTGTTCCTACAATTTCTACCTTTTTTGTTCTATTATTTCTTCTTCTGCGATGTCACTGGGCAAGTATACCTCGTGTGGACGAGAGATGTCCTACTGCTGCACAATCCTTTGTATCTTAATCATATAACTTCTCTTATCAAACTATGTTCCCGCCTCTACTGTCACATATCCCGATGCTAGACTGGCATCCCCATTTTGAACAAGGATTTTCCTTTTCCCCATTCCTCATCTTGAAAACCATCTTCACCCTGACTTCCAAGGTTCAACAAAACCAGGGAACTGCCAGCTAATTGTACACACCTGGTGAAATGCAGAGTGCCACTTTTTATGGCCCAGGTCAACCAGTCAAGCCATACCTTAGGCCAGTGAACAAGGAGGGCGTTGGTGTTGCTCCTGCACCACTGCTGTCTCTACAACCTTCCGTTCCTTTGCCATGCAGACTCCCCAGGATTCCAGTTCTGATACTGTAATAACCTCCCTCTCTGTGACAGAGTGTTTATACATATAAGGTCCCAGGTTCCATTTTTCACTGTCGTCTCCAGTTAAAGCCAATCATTAGAAGAGTTTGAAGGAAGACTTTCCTGTCTGAGACCCTGTCTGGTGAACTGTGTAGGTTGGTCTGGACCATTTGGGGTTTCTGTCTCAGAGTCAGAGGTCAGCCCAGGCCTATGTCTCTATGACTGAATCTCTGCCAGGCAGGGTGTCCCCACTCCTTTCAGGAAAGGAGGTAGATGGGCTGACATCTTCATCACACAAGGGGGAGGCTGTGGAAGTGCCATTAAATCATGATTCATTAACTCCCACTTCCCGGCATGCCATGGCCCAGTTCTGAGGGACTCTACTTCAGCTTCCGGGGTCAATGCCTGCCACGACAGGGCATTTTCCCACACAGAGGCAAGGGTGCTCACAGGATTCACTGCCAATGGGCCAGTCGTGGGGCCTTGCTTACAGTGGATTTCATGCACCAGTGTCCTCTGTACCCACCTATCAGCAGCCCTGTCTTCAATGCCAGAAGAACTAGAAGGACTAAACAAAGTGTCTATGAAAGAAGGACATACACGGAATGTCTTTTGAAATCTGGACTCTTCTCACCCCCAGCTCCCCCCAGAGTCAGTATAGGCCTTTTGGGACTGTGTTTCCTCACCTCTTCACTTCCTACAACTTCAGTGCCCATGGGAAACTGCAAATCACTTGAACTCTCCTAGAAATGTAAAGTAGGGATGTTGATATTCCAGTGTATTTATTTATTGAATAAATGTATGGATAAAAAAGTATAGCTTTAAAAGGCCTTTCTTTTGATATTTTTTGAATTGGACTCAGAAGTGTACAGACATTTTCATTTCTTTTCCAGTGTGTATTTGTTCCTTATTTGCTTACCTCCCTCCTCAGGGAACTACTGCTCTGGTTTTCCATAAGTGAGACTTGGTATGTTCTGTAGTGAAGAGGTGAGGAACTGTGGTGAACTGGTCAGCTCTGGTGGTCATCTTCACAGAGGTAGTGGTGCTAGCCTCCTTCGCATCATGCCCTCTGGAGCGTCCTGGGTTTGGGATGAGCATCACTGCCATTCCTGAGGGAGGAATGGGCAGGTGGAGGATGGCAAATGCCTGAGAGAAACTTGCATGTATCTCACATTGCCTGGGGCTCAGAATCCTGCGTAGAGGAAGGGTCAGTGGTGGATCATTCCTGTCCATTTGGAGAAGGGCTGTAGCTCAGCAATAGAGCATCTCGCCTTTGAATGCAGAATTCTCCAACCTCAACCCCTGGCATCTCAGTTTGAACTGGGAATGTCCCCTGCCTGAAACCTTGGAGAGCCTCTGCCAGTCAGTGTAGATAACACTGGGCTAGATGGATTAATAACTTCCTACTTTTCTTGCAGTGGGGATCACCTGAACTCTTAAGTGCTGAAGAGCTGTGCGATTACTAGCATCACATATGCAAATCCAGGGAGGGCATAAAAGCCATCAGAGCAGCCCAGTTTTCTTACTGATGGAATAGATTCAAGGTGGGCATCTACATCACCCAGATTCCCATTGGCATAGGCTGTCATGCTGGAAGAGAACTACTGCATCTGTATGCTAGGCAAGGGGAAGGCTGGGTTTTTATTTCATTTTGCAGCGTAAGTTAATCTTGTTTCTCCCTTATCCTATCCAATTATCTCTTCTATCATCAATAAACAAATTTTAATTTAGCATAATTGGACACGAATGTGGTATGATTGAGGGCTGGTATATAGATTTGAAATAATCAACTTGGGAGGGTTTTGTCTCTTCAGAGGGAGCCTGCAGTCCAGTGTCAGGAGTCCCATGGAGGTGTCATGGAAGGGGTGGTCAGACCCTGAAGAGGAGTGGGGGGAGCTTGGGGAATTAGATCTGGAGGACCCTAGGAAGGGTCCTGGGAGGGTTGGGTTGCAGATTCCAACCCCCAAAAGATGTTTGATTCTAGGGAGGCTCTTTGTGGGTTAGGGGGTCATCCACCCTCCAGAGGAGACTCAGGCATGCTCTCAGAAGTGCTTCCCATTGCCTCACCTCCAGATATGCAATCTTCAGCTTCTCCAGCCAAAGTGCTGCCTCTAGTGACTTCTCCTGTTGCACAGGAGCTTCTCACTTCCAGGGAAGCAACTGGGAGCAGACCTGATGCTGAGCCAGCTCCCACCACATCTCCATTGCCTAAGATGTGGAGAAACAAGTGCAGCCATGCACAAACCATACAAAGGCGGGTTTGGGTTACTGCTTTTTTCAAAAAAAGAAACATTCACAAATAGATGTGGAAATGAGCAAACTGCACTTAAGGTTGGAAACATGAGAGACCCAGATCAACAGGCTCATCCACCTTACTTGTAAACTACCACCATGGTTTTGGCTTAGCACCTTATCCATTGTAGGCTCATTTAAAGAGCTTAGATGTTGTTATTTTTTTTGGCTAAGAGACCCCCTACCACCGTCACAGGACTACAAGGCTTGTGGTTAATTTTCTCTTCAGCACAGTTTGTCTGCTTGGACTAAGGGTGCAGTTAGATTATTTCAGACTCTGGGTTTGTTGAGTCTTCTGTAGATGGTAATGTTGTTTGCTTGACTTCCTTTGAAATGGGAAAGCAGCCAGGCTTGCTGCGTTTCTGGGCCCTCCTTCATATTCTGCTGAGTGGGGTCCTAGACCTCTGTCCCAAAGTCCTGTCCTGAGTACACCACTGGTTTTGACCACCTCAGTGAGAAGGTGCTGACAAGACTAGATCAGAGCTAGTCTTTTGGTGGGGGGCGGGGAGAGAAAGAGAAGGAGAAATTGTAATTGTTGTGATGAAAGACATATGCCCACCGTTACATGGTGATGTCCTTGAAGCCAGCACAAACAAGCTCCACATCTGCTTACGGGGAGCAGGCAGCAACCAAGATTCCTGTGTTGCTTAAAAACAATAACCTTAGAACAGGGAGTGTACGGAAGAACCCTGGTGACATGCCTTCAATGTTTTTTCCACACCTTTGACATTTCCCCCAACATGGTCATGGTAAAAGCCGTATGCAAAACATGTGCTTTACAATTGATGAGGAAAGATACACACTTCGTTATGCATGCTTGGAAGCAGCAGCAACAACTAGAACATCTCCCTCCATAATCTGTGAGCAGAGTGTCACACGTAGTACCAGTTGCTCCCCACCTATGGAACAAACACACCCCAGTAAAGCAGCTCTGGATTTATCAGAGCAGAACAAAGATAGGTTTGCCATCTTGCTCTGTTTTAACGGGTCTGCTTTGAAGTAGCGTGGGGTGGTGAGGGTGGGGGGGCACTGTTTTGTCTTTATTCAACCTTACCAATATGCCTGGGTGTTTCTTTTCCCCCCAAATGCGCATATGTTTAAGTAAATTAAAACATACACTTGAGCAATGACTTTGTTCCCCTGTGAAACGTAGCAGTGCTCATTAGGACAGCTGTGCCAGCTGTTGTGTCTCTGGGGGCCCCTGCTGTGGCCAATTTGAAGCGGTTGGGGGACAGGAGGAAGAACGTGCAGGATTCACTCCCTTACTGGATCACTTCCAAGTCGAGGGACCTGAGTCTAGGGAGCCGGAGATGTTTGTGTATTAGGTTTTTTCCCCCCTGCAGGCAGTAAAGTTAATTATTATTTGATTAATCTGTCTCTCGGGTAATGAAAGAGCAGTTATCGCAGCCTTGAGCACACAGCACCCTCCACCTGCTCAACACTTCCCTGCAGCCACACCTTGTCTCTTCACCTCTTCTCACCCCAACCCCCCAGGACTCTAACCAAGCCCCCAGATCTGGTGTACGGTGCAAGCAGAGGTATTGCTTCTGAGCAAATTCCCCTTGACTGAGATCCTACGTTGGGGGGCCCATAAAAGTTTGCTTGGCAGCCAGGGTCAAATTGTGAGGGAGGGGGAGAGTGGGAGGCTGCATCCAAAGCAGCAGCATGAATTCACTCCAGGAGGGACAGGTCGCTCTGGAGCAAAGGATTAGGAAATGCAACAAAGACGGTGCCATTATGATCCATTCAAAAGGTTCCATTGAGTTGCCAGCCTGGCATCATCATTAGAGTATACACAGAACGCTTGCCGTGGGGGGAACTCCATGCCACACACTCCACAGCACAGACCCCAGGTGCCCTGTTGTGCATTCCGGCAGCAGCTAGCACAGGTGATCCTGGCCTGTGTGCTGTTTTGTGCTGTGTTTAATTTACTAAGCAGGGAAGTTTTACTGATGGAGGCGATAAGCTTCCATTTCTCTAGCAGAGAGAGGATGTAATAACGGCGATAACTCCTGCCCTTCGCTCCTGGGATATGAATGCCTCTTCAGCTCTTAATAATTCAACCTTGCATTTGCACATGTACGTCAGGGCACAGACACGCATGCATATACACACAAACATACACTCCTTTCATCCACCCACAGTAGTTTCAAATTCCAGCTCCAAATTCAACCCTCTTCTTGGTTCTTCTCATTACCGATCAAAGGAGTTTTGAATTATTTGGGGCTGACGCTGCCAGCACCAGTTCCTTTGGAGGCTTCACTGAAGATGTTCCCGAATCCCATGGGGTACACAACTATCGTTCCCTCTACCTGTCTCTATCCCACCTCGCTCTTTGCCAGAATGATACCTGAATTCAGATACAGAACACTCAACATAGTGGGTGATCTGGTCTCCCTTCGTAGAATCATAGACTTGGAAGGGACCACAAGGGTCAACTGGTCCAACCCCCTGCAACTCAGAAGTCTTTCACCCGACATAGTGCTCGAACCCATGACCTTGAGATTAAGAGTCTCGTGCTCTACTGACTGAGCTATGCAGCTTGCATGCATGCCCTGCTTGTGGACTCTTCCCACAAGCATCGTACATGGAGGAGAGGGCGATCAAAGGCTACTCACCAAGATGGCTATGCTCTGCCTCCACAGTTGGAGGCCATAACACTTCTGAATACCAATTGCTGGAAACCACACAAGGGGAGAATGTTCTTGTGCTTCAGTTCTGCTTGCCAGTTTCCCAGAGTCACCTGGCTGACCTCTGTGATATACCAGGATGCTCAATGGATGGGCCTTTGGCCTCACCTAGTAGGACTCTTTGTGTGTTTTTAACCTGTCGGTTGGAGTCACTGGGAACTGGGATAAAGTCGGCACAAGGCTCATGGAGCCAACACAATACCTTTGTAAGCCGCAGGAACCCCTGGCACCAGGCCCCAGATGGCAGCAGTTAGGGTGGGTGTATATGTCATAACTGCTAAGCTGGGTTTCAACAGCCCAGGATCCTCACTTGGGCAGTAGCCAGAATTGCAAAGTCCCCAGCTCCCTGCTATTGGAGCTCAGGGACATCTTGCATCCAAAATACCCATGCACACACACTTTCCTGGGCATTATTTAGGACGGCACGACGCAAATAGTGGAAATAACAACAGGTGACGCTTTGTACAAAAACAGCTGCGCCGAGGAGAATTGCAAACCTCGAGATCTCTATTCTCCTTGTATGGTGCTTCAATTATTCAACATTTAAAATGGGAGCTGCTGCCAAATGAATATCCCGCGACTTGTCACAACACATGAAACCCTGGCACAGCGTGAGGCGTGCAGCACCTGACACCTCCAGCTCCCCTGGCACTGCCAAACAAATACGGCTGGTGCCTTTGTTGCACTTGCTGCGGAGGGAACCCTGCTGTTGCTGGGATTGATTTTCCCATTACCTTTTAATGTCGCATATTAAAGCCATATGGATTCACTCCGTTACTCCTCTGCTTTATTAGCTTCCGGCAGGGCTGAACTGGCATTGCTGCGACTTTCCAGGGCTGCGTGTAGGCAAGGGTGCTGTGGGGGAGGGGGGCGAACACAGGGCTGGAGGGACAGTGAAGGGACCGGGGCTAGTGCCAGACAGGTCCAGAACCCATGCAAGGCAGGCAGTGCTCTCCTGGGCAGATAGACTTAGGTAGCTGGTCTAACAGATTGAAATTTAGGGCCAAACCAAAAAAGACGTGAGGGGGGATTCTGCTTAATTTATTTACCCCTTACCCCAAAATGAATGGGGAGCATAGGCACCATTTCCTGGGGTCTGAGTCAGTTTCAGTCCCCCCGCAATGTTTTTCTTGAGGGGGCTGAACCCCCTCAATCTTCAGAGGTTGTCTGGCTCCGTCCCCTGGTGGGCAGTACTGATGGAGAAACTCATTCATCTACCTCACCCCTGCTTTTATCCTGAAACCATCTCTCTCTCTCTCTCTCTCTCTCTCTCTCTCTCTCTCTCTCTTTTTCTCTTTCTCTTTCTCTTTCTCTTTCTCTGTACACACCATACAGTACCTTTAAAGAACATTTCCCTCCTGAAAGAATTATGGGCACTGTAGTTTTCCCTCACAGTTACACTTCCCACAAACACTTAACAAACTACAGTGCCCAAAATGTGCTTTGAATGTGCTTTAAAGCTATAGCCCCTCCCATCTCTCTGTCAAAAAGCCATTCACGACTGGAATTCAGTGGTGCATTGGTAAATTTTGAAGTTGCAGTTCCCATAGAAACACAGGAAGCCAGCTTAGGCCAAGTCAGACTATTGGTGCATTTAACTCAGTATTGTCTACACTGACTGGCAGCAGCTCCCCAGAGTACCAGGCAGGGGACAGTCCCAGCCCTACCTGGAGTGATTGAACTTGGGGCCTTCTGCACACCAAGCAGATGCTCTATCACTAAGCTATGGCCCTTCCCTAAACATCCATGGCCTCAAGTAGATGCCATAGCCACAGTAGTGTAGCATGCGGGGGTGGGTGTCACAGGGGCAGTTGCCACCAGTGCAAAATGTCAACACGCAGTGTCACCTCAATACAGCTGAGTGCTTCTGTTGCTGGGCTGCATTGAAAACAGCTTCTCCATGAGAATCCGGAAGTGATCTCTCCGGACGATGGAATGACTCTTCTCTCTGCAGCTGTGATATCCTGGGTGATGCAGACACTGTTAGGCAGTTGAATGCACAGGTGTACTCTGTCCATTTCCTTTGCACCCACCCATCTCCTCCACGCAACCCCGGGCACTGACAACCCACGCTATGCCACTGCTTAGCCAAGGAGAGTCAGAAACTGTTCTGATCCATTATGCAACCCCTTCCCAAGAACAGCAGCTCCCGAAGAGCTGGCAGTCTGGAAACAGTAGTCCCACCTTTAGTTGGTGAGAGCGGATAACATGCTGAGTGAGGCCCATGCATCTGCAATAGGAGCAGCCCAAACTGAAAGCATTCCTACACACCAGCAGCACATCTGCTTCCAAAGAGCACACACCATTTGCCGTGCATTGACCTTTCTGTTCCCTGTCCCCCAGAATTCACGGAAGATCTCGCCCAGAAACATTTGGGTGGTGCTACAGCTCATAAGGCAACTTGAGAAACTCATAGGATTGTGAGAAATATGAGGTTAGCTGCTCTCTCCCAGGAAAGTTCTGAAACTGATAAAAAAAGCCATTAGCAGCTAGTGCACAATTGCCTGTGGAACCTGCCACTCTGAGAGCTGCAATGCAAATGGGGAAACTATGTGGAAAAAAGAAAGAAGCAGTCAATGAGGCAACTGTCTGTGGCTGCAGTCCTTTAAGCACACTTGCATACGTTAGAATGAGATCAATAGGATATGCTGCCTGCCGTGCATTTTTCACACGATTCTTCCTTTACCGGGGATCTTAACTCAGGCTCCTTCAAGCATGCTGTGGTTCCATGTGGTCTTGGTTCCTCTTCATCCATCCACTTCTCCCTGCGTGGGTCTGAGAAAAGAATGAACGCTGCTGGGAAACCATATTTATTTTGCCTTTACAACAATGGGGAGGTTCAGACAGCTGCTTTGTTGCTTTAGGGAGCCTCGCAGTGATGATTCTAAATGTCTAGGGTGGGGAAAGATTCGAAGTAACCACTTTAGTGGGCAGAAAACAAGGCATTTCTTCTGCAACGTGCATCATCCCTGCAGCCAACACATTACTGTGAAGCATCCAGCTCTTAACAGAGGATGGCCACTTACGCCTCGCAAAAAAGAGGACAAAAGATGGCACAGATTTGCATAGGTTAATTTATATATATAGATGCAGATTTAGAAATAATTACTGACCAGGTGACCTGATGGATCTGCTGTCCAGGTGCTGAATGTTAATAGGCAACTTCAAGTGGCCCCCTGCTCTCCTTTATTTATCTTTAAACTGGGCTTTAAAGCAGGGGTGATGAAGCTACAGCCCTTCAGATGGTGCAGGGCAACTCCAGTCTTTCTCGACCATGGGACATGCTGGCTGGGGCTGACTAAAGTCTGTTTATTTATTGCATTAATACCCCACCTTCTTCTGCCATGTGGTTCTCCCTGTCCTCATCAATCCCCACAACAACCCTGTGAGGTGGGTTAGGCTGAGAGGTAGTAATTGGCCCCAGGTCACCTGTTGAGCTTTGTGGTTGAGTAGGGAATTGAACCATGGTCTCCCAGGGCCTCATCTACGCCACACTATCTAACAACGTCTGGCGAGCCAGCATTTCCTTAACTGTGAAATAGAGGATGCCCTCAAATGGAAGACTGTCCTCTGTAAAATGGGCCACACGGCCACTCTAGCTCATAGCTGTTGTTAAGAAAGGATAATGGTGCAGGTGCATGAATTTGATGATGGTGATGATGACGACAGCAGCAGCAGCAGCAGCAGCAGCAGCAGCAACAACAACAACAACAACAACGTAATCAGGGCCCATTTTCACTGCCAGATTTTGTACCACAAATATTTGAAGTGCCATATTTTTCGCTCCATAAGACACACTTTTTTCCTCCTAAAAAGTAAGGGGAAATGTCTGTATGTCTTATGGAGTGAATGCGTGGTCCCTGGAGCTGAATTGCCCAGGGGCAATGTCAGGGAACTGCCATCAGCAAAATCCAGAGGGATTCCAGAGAGCGTCCCGGGATTGGGAGAGGCAGCCCATCTTCTGGGGAAGAGAATCAGCGTAGCACCAGTGGAGAAGGGGGGCAGATGGGGGAAGCGGCGAGGCAGTCCCATGACTCCTTGCCGGGGACCAGCGGTGAGAGTAGAGGTCCTCCGCTGCCTACGCCCTCCTTGCGCAGAAGGCTTTCGCGCAGAGAGAGTAGGAGGAGACTAGGCGTCAAAGAGATTCTTTGCTGGAAGAAGTTTAAGAAACGCCCACTGACGGATTCTGCCAGCGATTGAGACAGCCACGGGTGAGTGGCTGTCCGGATAGAAAAGGTTCACTCAGGCAACCCAGCCAGGTGTTTGCACCGGCTTACGCATGAGCAACCCCTAGAACCACTACAGGCAAAAAGCAGATTGTGTTTTTTTTTAGAAAGAGGAAAGGGGGTGTTGAAACAAAGCCGCTGAGCAGCTGATCGGCAAGTGATCAGGAGGGGAGATAAGGGACTCTAGCGATAAAGGAGGGTGCCTGGGAATGGGGGAGGTAAAGACAGCAAATTTGCAAGGAGAGGAGACAGGAGGAGATTAAAGCAATGAGGAGAGAAATTAGAAGAAAAGGAGGCACAAAAAACTGCTCCAGCTAAGGAAAAGACACTAAGGCAAACAAGAGGGAAGGGGGTGTTGAAGAAGGCTGCTTGGGAAGGGGGAGGTAAAAGCACAATGGCGCAAAAACGTAGTTACAAAGCACGGATCCACATGGATCCTCAGGATTTTTGCATTGGGTCACCCCAAATTCACCATCAGATCACATAGCATGTCCATGGCTACAGCCTGCACCAAAAAAATCATGCATCCATTGTTTTGTGGGGCTACAATGCCGCAAAAACATGGTTACAAAGTACGGATCCACATGGATCTTCAGAATTTTTGCATTGGGCTACCCCTAACTCACCGTTAAATCACATATCATGTCTGTGGCCACAGCATGGACCACAAAAAATCATACATCCACTGTTTCGTTCAGAATATATTTTTTTCTTGTTTTCCTCCTCTAAAAACTAGGTGCGTCTTATGGTCAGGTGCATCTTATTGAGTGAAAAATACGGTATAATGAATTGAAAAAAACGTTTAAAATAACTTTTGTAAAAACAAGCAAACCCAGAAGCCTTTTATTAGGAATTGTAGGTACTGACATTCCAAAGGAACAGAAAAGACTTTCCATGTATGTGACAACAGCAATGCGGATGCTACTAGCTCAGAGATGGAAAGAAGACAAAGTCCCTACCAGAGAGGAATAGCAAACCAAGCTGTTGGACTATGCCGAAATGACAAAACTGACCAGAAGGCTCAGGAACCAAGAAGACCAAAACTTCAACAAAGAATGGCACTAATAAAGAAAAGTTCCAGGGTGGCAACAGAAAGCAAACCAAAAATGCTTTTGCAGTTCATCAGAACTATCAGGCAATATCAAGTTATATGAAAACTGGTGCTATTAACAGTAACCCTAGTTGGTTAATTGATTTGGCAACTTCCATGCACATGACGTCTGATGCTAATTCCCCCCCAAAGAGTTAAATGAGATTCAGGTGAAGGTCATATGCCTTGTCAATCCCAGCAAGGCCTATGGCCTGCCCACCCTGCACTGTCCCTGAATCTGGGTTTGGGGGAACCTGTAGAAAGGATTTAGGGGGATCACAGGGGGAAGAGAGGGAGGAAAGTCCCATTGTGGTCCACTCATGCAATTATTTAATTGAATATCACCCTATGTCTGCATGTCGAGCTGCTGTTAAAAGCATAGCTCCAATGGCCGCTTGAAAACACTACTTGTGCAGAATGTGGAATCTTCTAAAATCATAGACCACCCACAACCAGTAGCATTTGGTGGGGGGAGACACTTAGCATATCTCCCAACGCTGACATCACTGTGGCTTACAAGAAGGTAGAGGAGGAAGGAGGTGAGGTTGATGTGGTGTGAACACACTGGCATGAGCACCAGTTTGGCTGCACTGGTGTGTTTGCACTGTGCCAACCTTACTCAACCCTGCCAGCACCAGCAATGTCAGTAGTGAGAGGTCATGTAAGTGCCAGGACCTTACCCTGCCGACAGTGCTGGCTGCAATCCAACATGGAAACCCTATGCATAATCCTACTAAACCTAGTTGGTTTAATAGCAGTATTAGGTTAGCAAGGTCTTGTGAGATCTAACTGAAATCTCACAAGATCTCATGAGCTTTGTAAGATCTTGCAAGAGCTCAGTGAGATCTCACAAGATCTCACCAGAATCTGCTATTGTTGCTGCCAGGCACCGCTGCACAATCCAGGTAAGGGAGGCTTGGGCGTTGGTGAAATTCTCAGCATGTTGTACGCTGAAAGAAAACTATATGAAAATGATGTACCGCTGGTATTTGACTCCTAGTAAGCTTGCAAAAATGTATAAGATAAGTGCAAATATCTGCTGGAAATGTAAGCAAAAGGAAGGTACCTTCTATCATATGTGGTGGACCTGTAAGGTTCTAAAAGCATTCTTGGAAATGATATACCGGTAATTAAAAAAAACAGTGCTACTGGTCATGAGTAGAGGTTGGCTGGCCATCTGTCATGGATGCTTCTGTTGAGATTCCTGCATTGCGGAGGGGGGCTGGACTAGATGCTCCTCAGGGTCCCTTCCAACTCTACAATTCCATGCTTCTATGTGTAGAGCGCCTTTCCATCAAAAACGAGTCACAAACTCTCCACAAACATATGCGATTACAGGGCAGAGTGCACGTGTCTGATTTCCAAGCAGAATCGCACCCAGACGTTGCTCCTTTTGTAAACCGACCCCTCAAAATGAAGCCCGAGCAAATGATATTATTTTGATCCTGTAGAGCATGACAGAGCCCATCCCCAAAGCCAAACATTTCCCATGATAAAATGTCTGAATAATACTGGCCCACAAACCTGTCCTTCCCACAGTTCTGTCAGGGGTCTGCTTATCTGCTACTCTCTGCGAGGGAATCCAGCAAAGCTCCTTGAGCTGGGGTAGCTCAATTGGTAGAGCATGAGACTCCTTAATCTCAGGTTTGTGGGTTTGAGCCCCACATTGGGCCAAAAAACCCCTGCATTGTAGGGATTGGACTGGATGACCCTTGGGGTCCCTTCCAACCCCACAGTTCTATGATTCTATGATAAACTATGCTAACATCCCTTGCAAAGCATGCCCCACGTGGCCTATCCATAGGGAGAGTCCTTGCCCGGCTCAGTCAGCAGCACTGCCAGGAAGCGTTAGAGCATGAATCGTGGGCAAGTGGCCCTCTGCACAGGTAATCAATAGAGGGAGCCCCGGTCGCTCCACCGAAGGATTATTATTATTTTCTTATGCATGTGTGCACAGGAGATTTATCGCCGAGGCTGCCACGGCAAAATCAATTATTCATGTTATAAATTAGAAAATGATTTATGGCACCAGGAGGCTAAGGGAGTGGCAGGGAGCCCAGACCCTGTACAAGATACAGCTGAGTTCAGACAACCTTGTGCTCCTATGCGTTCCTTGGACGACCTTCTGCCAAAACTAAAACGGTTCCTAATTTTGCACCACCCAGCTGTGCACAGTGCCTTCTGGTGGCTAAAATATGGAATTGCACTTTATTTGCTCTATGACACCTGATTCTGCAATGTTGGACAGCTGCAGAAAACGTTGGCTTTGTGGCATTCTGTGCAGCCAGCACCTTGGATAAGCTGGGTTGCCTCACATATTTGTGTAACGTTAATCACAGAACCATAGATCTGTAGAGCTGGAAAGGACCATGAGGGTCAAATAGTCCAACTTCCTGAATTGCAGGAATCTTTTGCTCAACCCACAACCCTGGGATTAAGAGTCTCCTGCTCTACAAACTGAGCTGTCCCAGAAGTTTTAACCATGCCAAGGATTTATGGTCTGGACAGTTGGTGCTCTAGTGATGCACCCATAGGAACGGAAGGTTTGTTTTAAGTGAGATGGCCCACTGTGCTGGTACTCCTTCCCTTTATATGTCAGTGTCACATTTAAATCAGTCTTGAGCCATTATGTTTGTGGACAGGAACATTACACACTCACTTTTAAGATTTATACATTTCACTGATTTTACCATCATTTTGACATTTCAAAACTTGACTCCCTTCCCCCTCTTTCTGCGGTTCCTTAAATTTATTTTTAATATCTTCTGCATATCCAAATTAACTTAATTTGCTCATTTATTTCTCTTCTTTAAATATATACTCTAATGAAACTGCAGGTTATTACAATAATCCTGCCAGTGGTTTTTTTCCTGTTTACAATTTACCTGTAAATATTCAATAAACCATTTCCATTCTTTTATAAAAAGTTTGTTATCTTGATTTCTTATTTTTCCGGTAAGATTCACCATTTCTGCATATTCCATATGTGTCCATTCTTCCATTGCTGGGACTTCTTCTTTTCATTTTTGGGCAAGTAACATTCTTGCCGCTGTAGTCGCATACATGAATAAGTTTCGATACCGTTTAGGTAGTTCTGTCCCTATAATTCCCAAGAGAAAAGCTTCTGGGTTTTTTTTGTTTTCCCCCCAAATGTTATTTTAAACATCCTTGTCATTTCATTGTATATCATTTCCCAGTTTGAAATTTGCATGTGCTAATTTGCATGTATAGGTGCACATTTAGAAATATTTAGAAGGAACTAAATGGAGACACAATGCATCTCACCAGATAACCTGTGTGCACCTGCTGCCCAGATGTTAACTATGCATGAGTTTCAACTCTTCTGCTCTCCCTTCCTATGATTATTTATCTTTAAACTGGACAGATTTTAAAATAGAGGACTCATTCAAATAAAGGACTGCTCTCTGTTAAGCAGGTCACATAGAGCCAGTGTGGTGTAGTGGTTAAGAGCGGTGGACTTGTAATCTGGTGAACTGGGTTCGCGTCTCCACTCCTCTAATGCAGCTGCTGGGTGACCTTGGGCCAGTCACACTTCTCTGAAGTCTCTCAGCCTCACTGACCTCACAGAGTGTTTGTTGTGCGAGAGGGAGGGAAAAGGAGATTGTTAGCTGCTTTGAGACTCCTTCGGGTAGTGATAATGCGGGATATCAAATCCAAACTCCTCCTCCTCCTTTTCTTCTATTCTCTCCCTAGCTGTGTGAACAGTTCCATCCAGGAGGAGGCAGTGATGGCCACAACTAGGATGACTTTAAAAGAGGACTGGGCAAATTCATTTAGGATAAGGCTATCAATGGCTACTAGCCAAGGTGGCTATGCTCTGCCTCCACAATTCGAGGCAGCAATGTTTCTGAATATTAGTTGCTAGAAACCACAGGAGGGGAGAGTGCTCTTATGCTTGAATCCTGCTTGGCCACTGTGAGAATAGGATGCTGGACTAAGGTCTGTTCTGGACTCTCTTCTCTTCCTATGTACTCCAAAACAGCATCTGCCTGAGGTGTGTTAGCACCTTACATGAAATATTAAAATGAGGCAATTGCAATGTCTTTCTGATATCCCAGGTTCCAGTTGGTCTTGCTGATTCTCAGACTGACACAAACAAATCCCAGTTATTACCTCTGGTCAGAAATCTGACCCAAGGAGCTCAGCGCATGCAGATGACTTCTCTAGCTGTCCTATTTGAATTTTGCTTCCTGGAGGACCCCAGCAGTGCCTCCTCCCCTGATCTTAGGTCTCTTCAGGATTTATAAAAAGCTCCAGAGCATATTGTGCTTTACATTTCCACTGAGATCTGTTTGGTATAAGAGAATATGGTCTATCACTCTGATGTCAAAGTTGACTTACTTAATAAGGAATCGTTCAGGGGAACAAACTAAGCAATTTATTCAGAAATGCTTCATGTTTGTAATGTACTGGAACATCACATTTCACGATATTGTCTATCCATATGCATTTGTCATCTGTGTTTTTGGAATTTATGTACAATTTTATTCTGCACCTTATTAAAAATGGCTTTTAAAAATGTTTCAGATAATAGATTTTTGTCTCCATGGAGAGGCCGTGTGTTTGTGTGTGTGCGTGTGTGCATGCACACACGCACATCAAGTTGATGAATTTGGGTCAGTTCCCCACACATTTACCACAAAACATTTTGTGCCCAATTAGAATGAATCAGATGAGTTTACTGAAGATGGAACAGTGATAAACAGAGGATGAGGAACAAGATGCACAGCCAAATGAGGATACGGCTCCTACATCACCCTTTGGCAGAAGGTCCCTTTGGAAGGGCTAAAGCAGATCTTTCGTGGTCAGGCCAGATCAGTGACTGAAGATGGAAAGACTATCTGCTGAAGCTAAGAGTCTAGGCATGTGCCCTGGACTCCACCCTCGCAGTGCTGCTCTTTGTCCCTTTCTCAGACCCTTCTCTTATTCAACCCTCCCTAAACCAGTTCCTGATGGTATGTCCCCCCCCCCCCAGTGCGGCAGTGGAAAAATATGCCTCAGCTCTATGTCAGTTGCTGGCATACATTGCCTTTCATGTGCACTTTCTTGCTGGTGGTGGGAATTATCTGAGAAGGAAGACGGGCTTGTTCCACATCCAGCTGCTGAAGAACTGGGGTTGAACCGATGACCACTTTTGGGAAAGACAGAAAAACATGTTGGGGAGCCTTAGATATCCGGTCACGATGGCTTTTTCCCTGAGCTGGATTGCTCCCCTTTACATAATGTGGCTAACATGGGCGTTTGCTGGATCCTGAGCAGCTCTCCATTCTAGCAAGGCCCCACACCCTCTGTCACAAGGGTTTTTTAGGCCACACTTGCACCATACAGTTAAGGATCTGTGATACCACTTTCATCAGTCGTGGCTTCCTGCAAAGAATTCTGCGAGCTGTAGTTTGTTCAGGGGGCTGAGAGTTATAGTCTTAACTGTTTAAAGTGCTAGCGCCGTGCTTTAAACGTAGGCTGTGAATGTGGTCACAGTGAAGCCTGAGCCATGGGTCCCTTTGGGCTGCTGCTTCTGTACCACATCAGGTGCACTGGCGCCCTCCTCATTGTGATTCTTGGTTTGTTGCCCAGCCCAACCTTGCTTCCCTGTAAGACCTCCACCCTTCATTTGGCCCTTGTCCATTACTTCTTAACAGCAGCAGCAAGACATCCACCAGGGTGGCTGCAGTTCAGTGATGAAGCATCTCCTTTGCATGTAGAAGCTCTGAGGTTCAGTCCCCGACAAATCCAGGTAGAGCCGAGAGAGCCCCTCATCTGAAATCCTGGAGAGCTGCTGCTAGTCAGTGCAGACAATATGGAGCCAGATGGACCAGTGGTCTGATTCAGAAACTTACATTCCTGCACATTGTGCCAAGGCACAAGGCATTGCTCCCTTCTACAGTGCTGCCCTACTGACCCTTCTAAGATATCCTAGCAGTAAGCTCAGCTCTGCTCTGCAATACTGCTGCAGCTCCTGGATAGTGACCACTGGTATGCAGGAGGAGGAAGGCTCATCCACCAATCTCTGAAACCAGTAGAGAATGGACCTAGCTGAACCAGCCCAGCTAGAACACCTGGCATGGAAGGGATTTGGGAGTCTCCTTATTACTACTGGGAAAATTGGAAGTGTCACAGAAGACAGGGTGCCTCAAGCCCCCAGAGAAGCCCAAGCAATTTTGCCTGCACCTTGGGACCTCCTGTCAGTCCAGCCGTGGACCTTGCCCTGGTTTTAGCAACTGTTTCCATAGCAGCAGCAGCAGATCAGGTTGTAACCGAGTTTCTGAGTCAAATCCTCCATTCCAGCTCCTCAGCATGCCGAGCCCTGAGCAGCTGGGGATGGAGGCAATAGCAGCCCCAGCGAAATCTTCCCTGCACCTTCCTATGCTGGCCCTTATGCAGCCTTCCCTGACTCATCCTGCTCATTCACCAGCACTCCTTCGCCTCTGCAGAATCCCAGCGAAAGTTCTGCATTAATCAGCATCCGGCCCCAAAGAGGAGACAGGAGTGAGCACGAGAATTCCAAAAGCGAAATGACCACTTCGGTGCAGGATGACACCACAAATCCTATCACTCTCCCTGCCTTCCTCCCTGCCCCCCACATCCCAGGCTGAATTGCACAATTGCTTTCCGGCCCTGGGACTGGCATTGTGGAAATGCCCTGTGTGACAGA